CCAACACTCTGAACCATACATCATAACTGGTCTCACTACAGTCTTGTAGAATTTACCTTACAGCCTCATTAAAATTCTTTTATCACATAAGACACCAGCCGCTTCTCTTCACTTCAACCACCCGTACTTAATTCTGTGTCTTCAATACTCGTCAATACTATTGTTCTTTTGCACAACTGATCTTAAATACTTAAAACTTTCCACCTCTCTAATCACGTCCTCGCCTATTGTCACTGGTCTCCTTATTTCACCTATCTCGTATTCTCTTTTATCAAACTCGTACTCTATTTACTCTGTCTTACTCCTACTTAAAATTATTAAATACCAATCTCATACTAATTTAACTAATATAACAAATATTTATTCATATATTATAATTCTAAATCAAAATATTACTAATCAGGAATAATGAAGGAAATAGAAGTTAATTTGGCTTTTGGAATAATCCACCAATTTTTCTAAACGAAACACTATCATTTGGTATATTTTTTTTATAAATCTGACTCTTTACCTGCCATAAAAATTGAAAAAAATTCCCTCGTTTCTCTTAAATGGGAAAAATCTCCAAAAAAATTACAAATTTTTTTTTTACAAAATTTTAACTTTACAAATCAATGTCTGATATCATTTTACTTGACCCAACTATGCCACGTCACCACTATGCTGGGTTTTTTGTTGTTGTATTTAATTTTATATGTTTTTATAATATTCAGTATAAATAATGTTAACCTTAAATAACCTCAACACTTCGCTAGGACTTAATCCAGAAGAAAATGAATAAGCCCTTAGAATTTTCTAACAAAATAAAAAATTTTAATGTAAGATAATAAAAAGTTAAATGATTGTTAAAACTATCTATTCTAATATAATGTACATTTTCTTTTCATTTATAAACAAAATTCATAATAACATTGTAACTAATGGGCATAGCATCTGAAGTTTAAAGATAAAAAGAAAATAGAATTTTAAGAAAAGTTGAGTGGCTAGTATTTAAACCTTTATAATAAAAATACTACTTATCAATAGAATACTTTATTTACTCATTTATTTTATGTAGCATTATATTACATAACACATATATTATCTAATAGAAGAGTTATAATATAAAAGACCATATTAATGATGCTAAAATTAAATTTAATAGCAAAAGGTGGAGTCTAAATTTTATTTGGTATTAAATGTATAATATGCTCATTTTTTAAATAATTGGTAATGCCACGAGATACATTAAAAGGGAAAATATTCTCGTTTAACATTGTTGTACCTTGAAACATAGGAGTGAGATAAAAAACTTTATTAAAAACTATAACTTTAATTTACGGCCTAGCCTAGAGGGTAGAAACATATGTTTCAGCGCATGGGATCTCGGGTTAAATCCCAAGGTGCCAACGAGATTTTTCTTGTGATTTTCTCAATGGTGATGTCTGGTCTCTAGTACATGCCGACCCTAATATTCGCCCCGTCCATCATTGGCTTAGCTAACAACTATCTTTGAATCTCTTATATGTAAAAGAGTACTACCATCCTCTATAACATGATAAGTTCGGGAAACAGAATGATGTAAAACTATTCGTTTATTTAAACATATATAATATTTAGTATTAGAAATATCACTATAATATCACAAAAAATTTTATGACTTATATTTTAATGAAATTAGGTATGCCATAGACACGCGTGGAACATTATGGTTATTAATTGAGATGGCAATAACTAATTAATCAGTACAAGGTTTTTTATCGCATACAGTTACTGATAAAAAATATTTGTATAACAAATCATTATGATATTATTTGTATACAAACTTGTAAAATTATATTAAGATTAATGAGACCTACAGACAAATCTAAACAAAACTAATGATGTATTTAAATAACTTGAGAAAGAATTCATAAATAATTTAGACAATTGTTTAAATATTGCCCATACGGATGCGTAAAAATTAAATAATATAGAAGAGTAAAAGATATTCCTGCAATTATAAAGAAATCCAGGTAAATCTGTATACTTAGTTGTATTAGTTAAAAAATCGACAGACAAAGAAAAAAGGACACAAATAAAGGTTATTGTAGAAAAAAACAAGCAAATAAAACATTTAGCTCCGCCAATTTCTTGTGGTTTTCCTGAAATGTTAGATTACAAGACGCTTTACCGACTATAAAAGAACTCCACTTTCTAAAAATGAAACTATTACAATGATAACAAAAAAATATATAATTACTCCAAGTTGAACATGAGAGACTTTAAATTTATTCTTCAAGCAACCCTTGAAGCACTGGGACATGATAAAAACAATTTTAGTACGTCGTCAATACAACGCATCCGTACGGAAAAATGCAAGGATTAATGATAAGGTTGATCTAAAAATTAAAAAGGGATAATAATAATAATAATAAAGCATAATAAAATATGGTGAAAATTTTGTCAAAAGAAAAAACCTTTGTAAAACTATACATAGTTTTCAGTAAGTAAGGAATCAGGTCAATTGTTATAAGTAATGAGAACAATAAAAACCCGTCTCTTTACTTACGAAACACCTATAACCCCATCGTATAAAAAAATAAAGAGTATGCATAATTGATTTCACAAAAAATAATTCTCCTTATATCATGGGAAATCCTAACGAATATACATATTTAAGCAATTTGGTTTTACTAAATGATGACGAATGAAATAATACGATTCATTTAATAGTGCTGGAAAATATTTGTATATTTATATTTATATTACTGAAAAGTACATAAAAGTATTTGAATATTTAAACTCAAGTTTACTTCAAGTACTTTACATGTCTGATAGATTGGAATGATCTATCCCCCTAATTCATTCCAATTTGACCGTTACTCTGGACATTACACTCTAAATTTGAAAAATATCCAACGATTCCCGTAATTAAAGGAATCCCCGAAAAATTAAAAATTTAAAAATCACAAAATTTTGATATTTTTTAAACTATATTTTTTTACTTAAAACTACCATTTCATATTTTAAGTCCATAATATTTAATGCCTAAAATAATTGTTCAGAGAAGGTTATCATGTTGATTATATTTTTTATGAGTATTATAAATATTATAGTTAGATAACACTATATAATTATTTTAGAACACGAAAGTGCATGAATTATACGTGTGTATTACATAACCTTCACTAGTCAGGAAAAAATAATACGAAAATACATTAATGAAATAAAAAAAAAAAAATTCATTCTATATTTAAAACTCAAAAATAATTTTGAGTTGCATTTTTTCAGCGTAGAGATAGGAAAAATCAAGCTTTACTCTTTTTCAAAAATTAAACATTTTTGAATTTGCTCAAATTTTCTATTACTATATCAATAAAAAAAGCCTAGCAATATTTTTATTGACCGAATTTAGGTAGCTTTGTTGGCTAAAATTCCTTAAAATAAAGATTTAGAGGACATAGTCTCTCCTTAAAAATTATTGTTAAATCCAGCTTTTAATAGCTCATACCCTTTTTTTAATTTATAAAAGTTTGTTTATAATACGAGTAAAGCCAAGATAATTGTTTGATTATATACAAAACATTGAGATTTTTTTAGATCCCCTAGTTTTTTTTTTTTATAAAATTCTGCTCATTAACTATATGCTATCATAATTTATTTATATATAAAAACAAAACTGAAAATTTAAAAATTAAAGTTATTTCAAAGTTATTTCAAAATTATTAAAATAATTTTTTATAGTTTCGTTTACAAAAAATAATATTTGGAAGACAATAATTTCCATTAAAAAAAATGTTCATCTATTAATTAGTTTAAGAACCACTGCTTATTATTCTATTGAAATATCTATTTGTACTTCAATCATTTTCACGTAATAATAAGTAGTATTGTCAAATTGTTGCTAAAATTATTGAATTTATTTTTAAGAGAATAATGCTCATTAATTTTTAATATTTCTCATATTAAGTTTTGTTTAATACGTCTTAGGGATTGATAATTTTTACGTACGATAAATTAAGTTTTATGAATTCATCTTATAAAATGTAGACTTTAAAAACTTTCTCTTTATATTATCTTCTTACATAATTGATACAATTTTACATGTCGGGAGAATAATATATGAATTACATATATGCCTTTTTATACTACAATTACGTGTTAAAAAAAGTAGTAGCTTATCATAAATTTTGACGTATTATTTATTTAAAAAAAAATTAGTACTCTTGTGTAAATTTATAAAACGTATTATAAATACAAAAAAAATTGCAACCATTGATTTTTCTAGAATTATATTTGAATGAATTTTTAAGAATTTGTATACTTTTTTTTTAATTACCCAAGACATTTTTTATTGAAACGATCATGAATCTTAATCAATACAATTTAATAACAAATACATAATAAATAACGTATGTATAATTTTGTTTTATTATTTTTATTCTCAGATTTAAACTTAATTTTTTTTGAATTTGTTTTATCATTATTATTATTTTTTTAAAAGTGTTTTTCTATAGCTCTAATGATTGAATAATCTAAATCAATTATACATAATTTTATAACATTTAGTCATTGTTTTTAAAATTATTATTTAATTCTTTAACACACTTATTAAATTATGCAAAAATAAATATTAATAATAATTTTATCCATGAGAAATTTTTATGATTTAAATATTTTTGAGTAAAAATGTTCACACAAGGAGGTTTACTCACACATTTTGTACCAAAACTTCAGAAATTACTAGTTAAACATAAATGGGAATGTTTTTTACTAAAACTTTTTGCTTATTTAAAATGTATATTGTATTAAATATAGGTAGTTTTTAAGGCATTAGCCAAGGTCAATATACCGGTGTCCGTTAGACTCATACTTCTGTTATTCTACGCGCATTATTCAATGGTCAAATTACCTTTCTCCTGATAATTTAAAATATATACGTCATCTACTCTGTTTTCCCTTCCCTTTTCTATCACTTTACGACGGTTTGTTCGCCATAGCTTTTCTGTCGAGTCATTGCGAGCGTAATCTGGTGATCAAAGAAGTTGAACTAGCATCTACCAAACTAAAAATTTGACATTACTGCAGCCAGTTTCTCCTACTTATAATTAATAATTAATATTTCCTATCATACTACTCTGTATGAATAGTTGTAATATTTAATCCTTCAGTATGCGTGTAATTATTATTCGTGACTAATTTCGATTTTACGTTCATGTACTATCAGTATTGTGGTGTTAGTGTTGAAAAGGTTTAAGCATAGAATAGGTGATACCTGATTTAATTTTTCTGTAGTATAAATAAGCTTTTGAACATATAAACATATAAGTAAAAATATATCAAATACTCTTAAAATGGCTGAAACAGAAGTAAAAAAATACTCTATGGATGAAGTACGACAACATGTTGATGCTAAAAATCCATGGATTGTTATCCACGACAGCATATATGATGTAGCTGAATTCTTAGCAGATGTATGTTCTTAGTTGACCATCTTTAATATAAATAATAACTTTACCTCGTCAATTATCTTTACTATCTAAGTATTAATATTTTGCGCGTTTTATAGCATCCTGGTGGTGAAGAAGTTTTGTTAGAACAAGCTGGTAAAGATTCCACAGAAGAGTTTGAGGATGTTGGACATTCAAGTGATGCTCGAGAGGTTATGCAAAAATATAAAATAGGTGAACTTATTGATGTAAGTTAATATTTTTAATTTTAAAGTTATTATATTGTAAATTTATATAAAATAACTGCTTTTAATATAATTGTTTATTATTAATGTTAAAGAATAATTTTTAATTTATATATACATTTATTTATTTGTTATTTTTAACATTCTTTCATTTTTCACGGTTAAGATATTAAAAATATTTTGTTTTCTAATCCACAATTAAAATATGTTTTAAACATTTAAATTAATCAAACATAGTGTTGTTTAAACAGCATATAAATACAATTCTGTTGTAAAATTTAATGTTAAAAAAATTTACACAACAAATTAATAATACTCGAAAGAATAACTATAAAAGTCAAAAATGTACATCCTTATTTCAACATAAAAAGTTTTTTCCTAGAAATCATCAATATAATTAGCTTTTAATAAATATTGTGGTTTAAGAAATTTAATAATGACTAACCTTATTCAAATTTTTAAATATAGAAACTAATTAAGAAGATTTTTTCTTTATTTTTATCGCTAAATGTGATATGGCCTTTACAAAGTGTGATGGATAAACGGTTTGCATAATAGTCCTATAAATCATAGGTTAGCAAATAACTTGAAAAACAAATTAGTCATAAAATTTAATTACCTATACATATAATAAAAATGTCTTGTGGCTAACATACTGACCTACTGACGTCAGTATGTGTTTAGGGTTGATAATGGTAACATTGTTTCCAAAATACGTACCCCCGACTTTCCAGTAATTTTTTGTGGCTTTTGAGTTTAATACTTTTTTAGTTTTTAAATTTATAATATTTTTAATATAGTTTTTATTTTTTAAATACCTATACATTTTCTATATTATTTTAGTAAATTTATTTATTTATTAATTAGATAAACCCTTAAGTTATTATATCGAAAAAGATCTTAACTTTGCTTTTATTGTAGTTTATTTAATTTCTTTAAAATATAAGTTTATTAATTTCACTTGAACCAAATTCAAAACATAGCTGCAATTCAATAACTTCTATTGTTGATTAGTAGTTTAATTAGTTTTGTACATAGTATAGGAATATTTTTATTTTTTATTTATAGGAAGATAGAAAACAAAATAAAAAACCAGAAAAGAAATCTCAACCAACCATTTCTTCTAATGGTTCTCCTGATGATTTTAGGTTTGTGAAATTTTTTTTAAATAATTATATATATGTTTTAGCTATAGCTATTATAGTGTCATATTTATTAATTAAATGTTGTATCATCAATAACTATTTTACTTATTAGAAATGTGTTCTTTTTTTTATATACAAATACAGTAGAAGTCCGATAATCCGGCACGTTCGGGACCGGCTCCATGCCGGTCTATCGGGCGGTGTCCTTTCCTTTTAGTGTAGGCTTTGCTATAAGAACAATTATATTAATAATTAAACTAAAAATACAGTATGCAAATACAAAAAAGTTTGTTCTACTGTATTCTACTGTTGGATGCCGAATTATCGGACTTCTACTGTAGTAATTGTTATTTTTTTCTAATATAATAATGTAAATATATATTTAAATATCAATTCTAAGTTAATATAAATTTATTAATATTTTTAAGATACTATTCTAGTACAAGGTGATTTTTTTATCATTAACCTCTTAATTAGTCAAAAAATAATAATAACAATATTTTATTGGTTTCCTACAGTTACATATTTTTCTCAATTTATCCAATTATGAAGTATATATTTGTATTCTTCTCTTATACCACCTTTAAAATGGTGTCATCTATAATTTTTCAAATTAAAACATAAAAATAACTAGCTTATTTATTTTATAGTAATCTATTTAAGAAAATGATTTGTTAATAATAAATTTTGCATTAGAATGTCAGGAGTTATTAACTACTACAAGTAAGGACCAAGGGTGAGGAATATATACTACTTTATTATTATGGTCTATATTGTCATAAAATAGATGAAATGATATTGCTTGTATAAGCAATAATGCCAAAAGTCGTCATATTTTTTAAAACACATTACTTTCCCTATACTTGGTGTATAAATTATTTTGTTATTAAAATGAAAAGGTTTTTGATATCAAGAATGTTTATATATGAAGTATAAGGAAAATAAATGCTTTAAAATGGATGTCTTAAAAAAATGGTGGCTATTTGGCTTCTATAGTTTATTATCTATATCTTTCTTATCACTGGATATTACTTGACCTCACTCCTCCTTTCACCATGATACAAAAATGTTAATAACTCCTGAAATTCTGGTCCAAAAGTTGTTATCGACCAGTCAATTTCTTAATTACATCATTTCCATTTAATAAGCTAGTTAAATATGTATGTTGCCATTAAATAAATAAACATGACATTCCTATAAGACATAGCGATAAGTATAAAAAATATATCATAATAAATGGAAATACATATGTAACTAATAAAAACCAAAAAAAAATTCTGAACACTAGAAAATAATGTACAAGTTACCTAGTATGTTCTCAATTTATAATCCTAAGCTTTATAGGCAATTTAAATAATTACAAGTGAAGAGCACACAAATTACTTATTATAATACATAGAATAACTTAACTTTTATGTATTTTCTTAATTGAATCTTTTTTATAATTATTAATATTTAAATTTTAATAAATATTTTATATATATATATATATATATTTTTATTATTATTATATTGGTACTAATTACTTAATCATAGAACATAAAAATTAACTTAATTTAACAGTTATAATTGAAGTCTGTTTTGTAAAACAATAAATAATATCTTTTTCAATACTTCATTTTTCATAAATTAATTAATGTTATTTTTAATTTTAGTATTTGGAAATCATGGTTGCTGCCATTGACAATTGGAGTTCTAGCTATTTTTGTTTACAGATATTTTATTACTTCTTAATAAAATACAGAAAAAAAATCATAATATTGAATAAGTACATTTTTGTAAACTCAATTTTTGGTTTAACTTGGTCTATATACATATTTTTTGTTTTATTTTACTATAATTTATAAATACTGATTTTGAAAAGTTGGTGGTAAGTTGTATACATTCAATCCAATATAGTATATTATCGTTATATTTTTTCAAAGTGCAAGTTAATCTTTTATTGTGATAATAGTTTTTCTCTGATTATTAATACATAACAACCAAACGAGTATTTATTTAATAAGATAAATATTTGCTTGTTTATTATTTTTATCTTATATGAAATTTAGGGAAATATAATGTAGTCATTGTGTCTTTAACTGTACATAGAACTACTACAACTCTAAGTGTGTTAAATCTAAAATTGTGCATTATGTAGTATTAAGGTAATGCCTTAGGGTATGGGTTTAAGATTTTCATATTTTTATTCTAGTTCTAACTATCAGTAATATTCATGGCTGCCACGTATTATCACAGTACACTCATTTATGAAAATTATTCTTAACTAAATTTATAATTCATAAAATTAAAAATTACATAAAGGTGATTTGATGATCATTTTCTATTAGTGATTAGAATAATAATTATTACTGAAAATTGAAATTCAGACATGCATAAATATTTATTAAAATTAAATAAATCGAATAAAGAATTAAAATAAAAAATAGTAAACGTGGTTTTGTTTGACTTAAATTCTGTTGAGTCTTGTTGTGGTACACAACATCCGATTTGGTCAAATTATATTGGCCAAACATTATTATTTATATTAGTCGTTTGTCAATAATAGTCAACAATGGGTATTTCGGTATTATATGTATTCTTAGTTGATAATAGTTTTAAGTTTTTGCTATTATATAGTTTAAAATAAATTTCTCTACTTAACCACGGAATTTATATCTTTCTATTCTGTGACTACACAATAGCCTTGTATTTTATAATATTGTTTACTGCTCATACATCTGTACTTGTGTGGCAGAAATGTAATTTTATAATGATATATTCATTTTAGAAAATGGAGATCCGTTTTTTCGTATTGTCAAAATTTTAAATGAGTATTCAAAATGAAATTGACCGAGTTTGAGTCAGTAATGATTATGAAACTGTGATGTGTAAAACCATTTTACATGAACTTTATACAACAAAATTATTATCTTGTATTATTAAATGAACTCTTCACTAAATTAAAACTTAATTTATAATTTATTAATAATTTAACCTACAACACAATTATATAATATTATATTAAGATTTTTAACAACCATAGCTTATTAGGAAAAAACTAAATTTTCAGATAGTTTGTATATATTTTTTAACAAAAAAATGCAATAGTGGTTTTATTCAATTTCATCCAATTGGAGATCTTTAAGTAATTTGCAAAAACAGTTACACAAAAATCAAGCAAACTGGTTGTATCTCTTTCTGCGATTTATTTATTATTACCCTATAAAAATATAAAATTAATTCAAAATAATATTATAATGACCATGTAAAGTTTAAATATAACCTAATTAATAAACCTTGTTCATTCTGAACATTTTTCAATATAAAAAATTAAACATTTTACCTAAAACTTAGTATTAAATGAACAATCCTACAATAATCTCCAAGCTAGTCAGATTTTTTTTTTAATCTAACGCAATATTTTCTAGATGATATTAATTATTATTATTAATATTAATTTGTGACATTGAATAAGGGTATATCTACAATTGAAATTTTCAAGTGCTTCGTATCTTTAAATAAAGAATATTCTTCTGGACCTCATCAAATAGCCATAGCATTGAAAAATTATACTTATACATTAACAATACATATCCACTTTTTATTTTGCGTAACACTAAATACTAACTTTTATCCACTCTGTTAGATATATAGTTACATTACTCTTAAATTTAAATTGTATGATAAAATTTTAAGTTATTAATTATAAGTCTACTAGACTAAATAGTTTTACTTTTTCAAAATATTACATATTTTAAACTACTGTCTATGGTTAATTGTACAATCTCCATTAAGTAACATGGAATTTCATCAACTATAATTAATTTTCTAGTATTCAATTCTAATTTAATTTCAATAGTTGAGAATGATAGATTGACAGTACATTATATATGCTGTTAAACTGATCGCCATTTAAATATCAGTATATTAATTTGAAAAAGGTTTTCGACTAATTGTAAGTGAATCACATTTGATTAATGTACAAACCTAGTATTTTGGATATTAAAGATCCATATTCATCTTAATTAAAATTATACCTTAATGATCGTATTTGATGAGCAAATTTTGCCTCTAAAATATTTCAATTTATTAATATTTATTTTGGTGTACTACTAGGAGGCAATATTCCTCCCATTTTATTTATGTTTATAAATGAAATAATTATTTTTAAATACTGCAAAAGTTTTATGCAGAATTTTTAAAATTCACAATTTTTTTGAAGAGGGCGCAAAACTTAATAATCAAACTTTGTTTATTTTATTGTTTAAAATCCTTTTTTAGCTTCGATGCGAAGCTGAGAAGGTATTAATTTTACTATGATGTGTTTTTTTTTTTTGTGTCTATTACCACTTATTCTCAGCTCTCAGCTCTCACCGAACCGATTTCTTTCAATGATACGTCAAAAGATTACAAATCGTATCTAGTCGAAGACATTACCCTCCAAAAATTGAAAAAATTGCCCTCGTTCCCCGTAAATGGGGGAAACCTCCAAAAAAATTACAAATTTAAAAATCACTAATTTTTTCAATTTTTTTTTTTCTTAAAACTGCCATAACTTTTTCAAAAATGAACAAATCAATATAATTTTTTTTTGTATAGATACGTGAGGTACCTACCTATCATTTGGTATCTTTTTTTTATAAATTTGACCCTTTACCTGCCCACGGACGGGGATTTAAAATGATAACTTTTGAAAGTTTTCCGGAAATACTGACACTTTTATATATATCTTAAATTAAAGCTAATGTAATATACTTTAATATTAAAAAAAAAAAAATTCGACTTTATTTTGTCTTCATGGTGAAAATGGCTACCAAATGCTATTTTTGTGTGAAAATTCTTGATTTTATTTTTTACATTTTTAACTTTATAATGCTATAACTTGTTGAAAAGTGTATGGATCAACACAATTTTTTATGAGAACAGGAAAGTCTGACACTTTAATATATATCTTAAATTATAGCTAATGTAATGTACTTTATTATAGAAAAAATTTGACCTCTGGACTTGTCTTCGTGGTGAAAATGGCTACCGAATGCTATTTTTGAGAATTATTATTGAGAAAATATTATTTGAGTAATAATATTTTTTAATAATCCCTTTTTCATTCGACATACTTTATCTTAATCAGGATATCAATAAAGAACTAGCAGATCATGTAGCTTTTGGAATAATACACCAATTTTTTAAAATTAAACACTATCTAAAGATTTGCATCGAAGCGTTTTTTTTTATAGTGATTTTAATCACTCTCAGATATCATTATACTTGATCCAACTATACGTCACCACTGTGCCGCGACCCCCNTATCATTATACTTGATCTAACTATGTAACGTTACCACTGTGCCGCGACCCCCCTGTGCTGGGTTTTTTAAAAGTAATGATCATGTTATGTATACACTTTTATATATACCTTAAATTAAAGATTATGTAATATACTTTAATTTGAAAAACACAAATTTGACTTCAGGACTTGTCTTCGAGGTGAAAACGGACATCAAAATTAATGAAAAATATACGTTTTCCTTTGTTGTAAATTGTGTTGTATTGAATGTCCTACAAAATTTTAATAATCTATTATTTATATACAAATAAATTATTTATTTATTTTTCATAAAATTTACACTGTTGTACACTAGTTATTATAAATGTATACGTAACTACTTGATCGTTGTAAACTATGCANTAATTTAGTATTCTGAGAACATTAAATTAAATATTTAAAAACTAAGTTTTATTAGAAGAAAATTGCTACGATTTTTAAAAGTTTATATTTAAGAACTATATACACAGCTTCGGTACGGTGTACCTTAGAATATGATTCCGTATTATGGAATCCTATTCAAATCAGCCTTATTGACGATTTAAAACGCATTCATAACTGTTTTTTGTATACTATTAGTTATACGCTAAACATAAAAACTGATTAAAGTATAGTTTTAGATAAATTAAATATTAAAACTAAGTCACATTTTCAATGATTAGTGTTTTATTCAAAATGTTTTGTATTTAATTATAACTTCTTGTAATATTGATTATTAAAATTTTAAATATGATTAACATTGGTAATGTAAAATAAATATTTTTCAATTTCTAAAGATTTGAGCCTATGTTTGTAGTGTTTAGTTTAAATTCATGGCTTAATTGCAGAATGAACAGTTCTTATCGATTAAATTTTTATTGTAGTGAGACCTGTATGGAATGTACTAATACAGGTTATGCAACAAAATCTGATGTATTGCCATACTTAAAACATACAAAATAACAAACATTAACAATCAAAAAGTCAGAATTTTCTATCATGCAAATTAATTATTAATTAAACATTAAATCTAAAACTTTCAGATATTTTTCTATCAGATAATTTTATTATTCTAAACTAAGAATAAAAATACATTTTGAGAATAATACTTAAAGGATAAGTTATGGTAATATGGCAAGAAAGTATGGCAACACTGTTTCCCGGTGTAAACAACAACACAGCAACTTAACCATACATTTTCTTGGCCGCCTTTCCGCAAAATATTCCGGAGCCAAAACTAGAACTTTGTTTTATCACTTTTGTACAACTTTTTTATAATTAATTTTTTTTTAATTTTATATGATTAATACCTTTTAATTAATAGCTCTAATCAGTCTGATTGTTCCATCGTTCTAGTCTGTTTAAGGAGACATCTATTATTGCACATTAACAATGGCGAACAACGAATTTCGAGTGTCTAGTAGCAGTTCAAGTTTAGTCCACGAATCTATAAAACAGAGTAAGTGATAAGGTAAATATATTTAGTTTTAAATAACTTAATATTATTGAATGTCAATTTATAGGAGGTACCATGAAAGATGAGTCATTTAGAAAGTTACGCGAAACATTTTCCATTCAAGGTAAAATTGGTGCTGGAACATTTAGTAAAGTGTATTTAGCTTATGCCAGAGGTGATCCAGAAAAAAAACAGTATGCCATAAAACATATTAAACAAACAACTCACCCTGAAAAACTACGCCGTGAGTTATTTTGTTTGCTGAAAATTGGGTAAGTAATATCTTTATTACTTAATCAGATTATACTTTAAACATTTTTTTTGTGATATGAAATCTTTAAAAAATTGTAATAATAATTTTATTTTTATAGAGGACAAGAAAATGTTATGGGACTAATAACTTCTTTAAGAATAGGAAGTTCAGTATGTTTAGTAATGCCTTATTTCAAACACGACCATCCTTTGGTAAGAATAAATATATTTTGAAATAGGATTTTGAATTTATTTTCAATTATGTAATGAGTGCATAACAAATACAAATCACTGGTTTACTAGATATAATATGCATCTTAATAATTTAAAAGTTGTAATGTAAAAGTTTATTAATAATTATAGCCCACTAAAAATTTAAAACTTATGCCAAAGCATAGATATTAAAAAATAAGTTTTTATGAAGTTTTAATGGTTTTTTAATTATTATAGTCATATCTTTGTTCAATGGAAGTTGATGAATTGCGATTGTACATTAAAAATTTACTTATTGCTCTCCGAAGAATTCATTCATTTAATATTGTTCATCGAGATGTTAAACCTAGTAATTTTTTATATAACCGAGCTAGTTCAACGTAAGTATTTAAATTTATATATGTATAATTTATTCTTATTTACTCAACTATTTGTGTTAATAGTTTTATGCTTACTGATTTTGGTCTTGCGCATCCAAATATAAGTCCAAGTAAAAGGAAGCAAATAAAAAGTTTACCTGATGAAGCAATTGCTCTAACTACTCCTAAACAAAGAAGTTCAAGTTGTGAATTTAAGGTTAATACTTAAATTTTTTATAATTTCATAATTTTATTAACTAATTTAGATTTAATTTGTCAACTTTAGAATGACCTAAAGCGTTCTAATTCAGTAGAATCTATTAATTTTAATTCATGTCAAAAACGAATTTTACAAAATATTGCTGATGGTAGTAACTCATTATCTAATGGATGTAATCTAAGGAAAAGAACTAAATTAATGATGCCAAAGAAACCTTTGCTTAAAGAAAATTCACCTGTCAAAAAACAATTCAATGTTCATAAAACATCTGTTCCAAATAGTTCAAGTGCTATGAATAATTTATTTAATGTAAGTAAAATTAATAACTACTAATTGTTAATTACTACTGTATTGTTGTTATATAATAATGTAATTAATTTAATGATTTGATTTAAAATACCTAAATTTATTAATCCTTTTGTCATTTAAAAGGAGAATAGTAGTATTAAACCTTATTATTTATTGAAACAATAATTTTATTTAAACTATGAAAATTATTATAATATCATTTTTTTTTTTTAATTTTATTCTTATTCTGTTGAAGTTCCCTTTTTGAAAGCTATTACTTATGATAGAGTTAGCAGAAGAATTTACATAGTCTAAGGGAGCATAATTCAACCCTATGACTAACACTATGATAATAATGAATACAATACTGAGGTATATCAATAACTCATGTAATACAAGTATTATTTTATTATATAGGACAAGAATAATTTTGCTGTACCCAAAGTACCACGTATTTCTTGTAATTGTGTTGGACAGTTAAAAGTTTGTAATATATGTATAAATAGGCCAGAAATGCGAGCTCCTCGTGCTGGAACTCCAGGATTTCGAGCTCCTGAAGTACTTTTAAAGTATAAATATCAAAATACAGGTATAAAAAAAAATATTAATAACTTTATATTTATATGAAATATTATTGTACTCATTACAACAAATTTTGTATTTTTATTTAGCACTTGATATTTGGTCTGTTGGAGTTATTATGTTAGAAGCAATGAGTCGTTGTTATCCATTTTTTAGTGCAGAAAATGATTCTACTTGTCTTGCTGAAATGATAACTGTATTTGGCGATAGAGCTATTAAAAATGTAGCTAAAATGTTAGGTGAGTGCTCTATTTAAAATTTTGAATATTTTGCATTTCTTAATTTTAAATTATTAAAAATAATTTTTTTATTTGTGCCAGGCCGAACTGTTATATGTGAAGTTCAAAAGCCACCTCTTGATTTAAGGGCAATCTGTCGTCTTTTATCTCATAGATCTCGGGTACAGAATTTAAATCCAGCTTCTGTTTCTTCTAGTGAAGGTTTAGAAGCATGTACATTTTGCTCAAAACCAATACAGTTATCTGGTTGTGAGGTGTTTTCTGATAGTTGTAGTTGTTACCTAAATGCTGCAGATGATTTTCCGTATCCTGCATATGATCTTTTGAAAAAACTTTTATGCTTAAATCCCGTTGCCAGAATAACTGCGGACATTGCTTTGAAACATCCTTTTTTTAAAATGGATGATAAAAAACCAAATTAATTGGTTTTTTAATGTATTTTTAAGTAAACCAGCTCAATCTGAACTTAATCATTACTATTTTCCGTTTTTACCTTTTTTCTTTTTCTTATATTACTTAAATTACTTTAATGTAATGTGTTAAACTTATTTGTTTTTTACTGTTAATGTAAAACTTATTTGTTATCTGTTAAATTTTTTCCTTTATTTCAAAAGCTAATAAATTTTTGAAAAAATTTAATTAAAATTTTGTCTAGTGTTAAACTATTATAACTCAGTAGTAGTCAGTTAATTAATTTAATTTAATTAGTTTCAAACATTTTTAGCATTTTAATTAACTATTAAAGTTTTCATTTAAAGTTAAAAATATGGCTTCATGTTTGTTAAATAAAATAGACTTCGTTATTGCATTTAGGACAATATTATTTAGCTTAAGACTTCCTTATTAGTTTTAAAATTGTACTTTCCTAGTCAAACTATTATTTAAGTGTATAATTTTATTGATGTAAAATAAGACATAGCTAAGATACTTTTGTACTGTATTTTAAATAAAAATATAATCATTATAAAAGTATATAAAGATTTTTATGTCTTATGAATAATATTAAAATTCAATTAAGTAAAACAATTCCTTTTTTTACTGATTTGGAACTCGTGCATTTTAAAATTAACTACTCAATGATAATAAAATATGTAAATTAATATCAAATAAAAGAACCTTGATTATCAAAATCTATTGTAACTATTTTTATTTAAGGTAACTTAATCATCTTGTTTTGCTTGGATTCATTTCTTATAAAAATGATGAAATTCTGTTAATTAGTACTTTTTTTTATGTATAGTATTATAAATACAGTTTTATACATGAAACAAAGTATTTAAACAAGGATCAATAACTTGTTAAAAATAAAGATAATTTTTTTTTTTTTTCAAAAATTGAAATTACTTGATATTGTACTTGTATTTATAGATTATAGAGAGATTGAGTTATTAGATTTCATATAATCAAGGTTCTATATTAAAATATAATATTTAGTGTGCCAATTGGAAGAAAAATATAGTATGAATGAACAAAATATGTTGTTCACTTTTTTTTATATTATTTATTTTAAAGTTTAGCATATGTGTAAATAATATTTTTAAATTATTGATGATTATTATAGTTCAAACTTACATTGTTTTTGGCATTTTATCCAAGACTAAATTTTTTTTACATTGTATTTTAAGTGTATCTAGGTTATATTAATTATGCATCTAGTTCCAAATTTTATTTTTATTCATAACATAAAATTATATTATGATAAATTACTTGTAACTATTGTTGTCATTTTTTTACCATCCGTTTATTATATTAGTAATAGAAACATGTTTAATTATCTATGGTTTATTATGTATCATTAAAATTCAATTATTAAGGAAATTTAAAAATTGTCTTAATATGAAGAATAGTAAAATTTAAACTATAATATCAGTTAAATTGATAATGAATCCTCCTTTTAACAATGAATTTATTACCATACTTAGTTTATTACCTATTTGCTTTCTTACCTTCAGATTATTTATGACTAGAAACATTTTTTAAATGTGAAAGATTTTATTTTGACTCAATTTTATTCATAAAATGTCAAATTTGTAAATATTTATGTTATGTTTAACCATTTTATAGGCTATGAAACTAAGATAAGGGTTCAAATAAAGACTGTCATTTAATTTAAGATTAACTTCTTGCAACTTTTTGGTGTGCTTATTTTTATTACATTATTATTTCACTACACTAATTATTATCTTTTGTACAAAACATGTTAATGAAACAATATTTCAATGTTAAAAATCAATGTATCAGTATGAATGTTGTAATTAGGAAACATAAGTATAGATAATTATTTATAAATTGTATATTTCACATTTGTTACAATATCAACTTAAGTAAATAGTTAATATTACAAGTACTTAGTTAAATTTTAATGAGTACTTAATAATTAACTATAAATGTGATTATGTATGTTAAATTGTTTTATTGTTATTTGCAACTGTACACAGTGATTCTTTTAACATTGACTAAAAATTTAAGAGAATATAATAGTTACTATAACTTAAACTTTTGGTGAGCATTAAAAATCACATATAAACATGTAATTTGCAATACCTGAGTTCTCCTTTAAATTAATCAAAATGTACTTGTGCTGTAACNTGTTTATATGTAATTTGCAATACCTGAGTTCTCCTTTAAATTAATCAAAATGTACTTGTGCTGTAACTATTAAAATCATGATTTTTTATGGAAAATGTTTTAGATTATTTGCCGAATTCATGAATTTAAAATTATGTCAAAAAATTATTAAATTTTTTTATTAATAATTAATTTATGTACAGTTTTTATATAATAAGTTCATTTATGAAGTATTGGTAGGACGTGTGTTAATTGAATCAAAGTTAGGAAATAAAAACAAATTTTTTAATTAAACCAGGAAAGTTTAACTAAGTAATAGACAATATTTGTACATTACTTAACTTTTGAGAATTTTTATTTTTGCTATAAATATCTATAGTTCATATTCAAAAGCTGATGTCATCAAAATTATTTTTTAAAACTTGTATAAGGAAAGTTGTTATTTTTAATTACTAAAAAATAACAAGGTAATATTATCAGGAAAGTTATATAGTGACTTATGATAGTATAATTTTAAAAGGGTTCAAACTCCCAAAATTCAAGTAATGACCAAATGTTTAGCTAAAAAGTCTTAAAATCAATATTTATCATTGAAACATTTTTGATTTGTATGAAAGTATAATTATCAATGTAGGTTATATATTTTGTATTTTTCTATATAATATTTACAAAATAGACTATATAATTATCATTATTATTATTATTCAAACTTACAATGATATTGCGACATGTCATTTCTTTACTTTAATTATAGTTTCGTTTATTGATTTTAAAAAGTAACATAGTATTTTTGTTACCATTAATAGTGTTCATATTCGTTTCAAGTGTTAAATTATATTTTTAATACCTCTATGATATAAAAGGAGTTTTTTTATGTAGTTTTGTTTACAAAAGTGTATCTATTGAAGTAGTTAATACTTTAATTCTATATGTATAATCCATTTATTAAAATTGATTTAAATTTTTTTTTCATTAAATTGTATTGTGAAGTACATTTTCTAAATACTGGATAGATATAATTATAAAAACTACGTGAAATGAACAATTTGTGAGTATCTAATTATTTATAGATGCTACAAATAAAAAATTTGTAAACTATTAGTTTTAAATTATTCAAAAATATGGGAATATTATTATTTCTATAACTTTTGAAATAATGATCTTAAAGTTTTACTCAATCTATTGCTATATGGATAAAAATATACAATGAGACAAATCATTTTCTATAAAAAGAAGGTAAATCCTTTACTCTGTAATTAAAGTTATGTAAACATAACTTATTATAACATAATATTATTGGTAATTTGTACTTTATTAGTTGATAGATAAAGCGGAAGATTAGAAGAAAAATGCAATTATAATAGCTACGATAAAAATCATTAACATGGTCGCTATTTAATGAGCAATAATTGGTTTAGAACAGAAGTTCTCAAACGTAGTCCAGGCCTTCTCAGAAGTTGTCTCGGAACTATGGATTAACGACCCCTCCCTTGTTGAAACCTGATCATTTTATGCCTAGAACATGCAATTTCCACAATAATAAATAATTTCCATATTTATTATTGTTTCAACTATATTTTTTCCTCTGATAACAACCTTTTCATACAGTCTTTAGTATAGTTTTCTCGCGTTATTGGTATCTAGGAAACGGACAGAATCTATTTCCTCTTTATTAAGAAATCCAAATTATGTCACTATACATTATTCTTTTTTAATTATTATAATTCTAAGACATTTACTGAAACTATAAAGTTTCATAATTACAATTATTATACATTTATGGTTGTAGATAGATGCGAATTATTAGTGAAAAACTAAAAATTGTAAATTATTATTTAGATAATTCTTCAATAATAGTAAAAAAAATAATAATAGGTTCCCATTTAACTTTCTTAAGTTATCCCTAAAATCTACCCTTAGGAATAATTTTTTCTTATAATGAACTTTACATTGACAGTGGTTTATAAAAATTAATTAAATTTTAATCCATACTTTTTTATGAAAAAAACATTATTTAATAATAAAATGAAGTATACTTAATAAATGATCTTTGTAAATCATTCATTACAGATATTTATACATAGTCTTTAAATGGTTCGGGACATTTCCTATTATTTATAATCAAGAAAAATGTCTTTTTCAAGTTTCTAAGAATGGAATATTGTTGTGCTTTTTATACTCAATTATCATATTAAGGACAATTTACGAACTTATGCGTGAAGTAATCTCCGGTAATTTAAAAAAATCTGCAGCTGTAAGTTTAATGATATTTTCTTGTCACTTTACTGGTTTATTGATTATGATTACGAAGAAAATAGTTTGCATAGAAGGCATGATTAAAAGTTATAACAATTTAGCTAAACTTCGAATAAATGATATTATTCTTCCAAAAGGATTTCATGTTACATTTTACATTAATGTTCTGGGGATAATATTGGAATTAATTGGAGATAGTATTTCGAGGTAATTACTTTTTACAAGCTTTAAATGATATTTCGGTTTAATATATAATGTTAACATAATGTCATAGTATAATAAATCTACTATTTTATCATAGCACTCAAGTACTATAAAATTAAGAATTTATCTTAATTAATTTAGCGATGATCAAACCTCCACCTCAATCAATGACTTTTACTTTTAACAATATACTTTTTTCAATAATATTTATAATGTTTACATTGTTGAATATATATTATGTTTTTACATAAAATTAATAAAAAAATTCAAAATGATAACATAACATTTAACCAAAGTGTAACAGCGATAAACCTCATCCATGATTAAAATAAATATAGGGTGAACATATATTTTAGAGGGGTTAAAAACATTGCTTGTGTATATCCTTCTCAAAAAAAATTCTGAGAATGTTATACATTTTCGTTAGAGTTCATTGGTATGGACTGGTGTCTCACAGTAGTTATTACTGATACATAAAATATTAAGGGTTGATTAAAATAGCGCTTGTTTAATTAATAGACAATGAATTTCCAAAATATTTTAATATAGTAATAATTATATTATTATAATAAACAAAACATTTTGTCAATTAATATAAGTAAATAATAATAATATTATTATAATTAAATTTTCATATAAAAATGAACTATTAATTAATTAATATTTATTGAGTAATTAGTTAATTGATATATGATAAATATAAATTTAATACTATTTCAAAGTTTATCATAAATGTAATATATGTTACAGCATTAAAAATGGAACTTATGGAGCTATGATGGCTTATATACCAATATTGAAATTCTGTATAATAGGTATTGAAGTACAGATAGTCATTTTATTTTTAATCCTAAGTGAATTATATAGTCGGCTTAATAAAGAAGTGCAATTTACATTGGTCAATGATTTGAAACAAATTCAAAATATGAGAAATCGAAATCTTGAAATGTACAAAATATGTAAAAAATTCAACTTGCATTATAATGTTGATATTATTATTACTCTATCATCTTTCCAAATAGTTTTACTTCACATTATCTATGAAACTATAAAATCTATAACTACGGAAGATTTATTTATGTAATTTATAATGATTAATGACAATTTTTCTTTTGCTTATTCAGATAAAATTATAACGTTATTTTTTAGTTAACCTTTTCAGACCCAGAATTTTTTTTAAGTAACATTTTAGCTTTGATGCCATACTGGAAAAGTATTAATTTTACTATGATCTCTTTTTAAGTCTATCACCACTTTATCTTAGCTCTCACCAGACCGATTTCCTTCAAAGATACGTCAAAATAACATAAATTGTATTTAATTGAAGACATTGCCCTTAAAAATTGAAAAAATTTCCCTTGTTCCCTGTAAATGGAGGAGATCCTCCAAAAAATTATAATTTTTCAAATTGATAAATTTTGACATATTTTACATTTTTTTTTCTTAAAACTTCCAAAACCAACCTTATTTAGGTTTGTTGGAGATGATACGATAAATTTTGGTAGGAAAGATAATCTCCCGATTTTTTTGATAATGCTTACTTCTTATGTTGAGAAAAACGAGTTTGAAAATTTGAACTACCTTAAGTTACCCTTAATATCATCCTGGAAGTGCATTTTTAAGTTAATAAATTAATTAATTAAGCAAATTAAGTCGACAAATTACGCCTAATTTTTTACTTGAAAATATTTATTTTGATTGAAACTTGTATTGAAATCATATGCAACCTTAAAAAAAATTTAAAAAAGAATTTTTTTAAATTTTAATTTGTACGTTTTCCAAAGTCACAAAGAAAAATTGAAGTCCACAATCCTCCTCTCCCCAAAAAATCAATATCTAACTACTTCATATTTTTTTGTAATTTCTTCGTAAAAATAGTAATACTAAATTATTAAATATCAATTTCATACTATATTTAATTGCCATAATAAATACTTTTTCATAAATTATACTTACTTGACATAAAAATTGAACACTATCTACAGATTTGCGTTTCTTATAGTAGTGATTTTAATCACTGTATTGTAGTGATATCACTTATACTTGTCCTTAATTATGCTACGTCCACACTTTGTCTTGACTCCATTTTGATACCTTATTTTTCACAATAATTAAGTTGTATACCATCTAAAGAAGTAAATAATTTTATTTTTGCATAATTATTAAATATTACACTGGGACTGGGTTTAAAACTAGTCTTAATGTTGCCACATATACAAGAGGTATGAGGACGATTAGTGACAGGAGCAATTGCCTCCTGGACCTCTGTATATAGAGCTATGATTAATCAATCAAAAAATTTAGTTTGATATATTTTTTTTTACTTATCATTTTCTTTATGAAATGAGACTACCTTAGAGTGTATTGAGAATTTGATCTACGTTTTATAAAATTTGAATAAATATTCATAATTTTAAAAATTTTAATTTTAAATTCTTATACAAATATTTTATTATACCCTTACGAATAAAAAGCTAAGGGCTGAAAAGGTTTATTTACTATATTTATGGTTAAAAATAAAAAATATTATTTTTTTAAAAATTTAATTGTTAATAAATTCAAAAATATTTTAGATACTTTGAAGACATTCATAGTTTTATAAAATTTGTTTCGTCGATGAGTCTTATAGTAAGGCATTCTTTTTTGACACTTTATTTAGTCGAATCAAGCACGAATCTATCAAAAAAGGTGATTCATATTTTTATAAATTTCATTTAGATTATATTTTCACATAACAATGTATTTTAATTTTCAGAGTACAATGTCGTTTTACAACATTTTGAAAAACAGAAACATTCATTTTTTTACTCAAGAAACTAAAGAACAGGTCTATATATTTATATTTTGATATAGCTACCCGGAGTTGATAAAAATTATTTAGACTTGGGTTTTAAAGTATAACGACGAATACATAAACTAATGAAATATGTGTCATTTATTTATAAAATCAGGAATGTATTAAAGGGAAAGGGTTGAGCCTATTCTAGTAGTGCAATTATGGGATATATAAATGTATATCATATTAATTAAAAATGTAATATCAGTACTGCTAAAAATTAAAAGTGAAATTATGAGCAAATAAAAAGGATAGATCACATTATACATATAATGTCATAACAGATACCGTAAGTAAAAAAAGAGTTGGGCCGAAAATTACTCATACAGAATGATCGTTGTAACCCACTTAATTCCTTTCAAATTAAAAAAAAAAATGTCGCGAATATTTGTTTGACTTTTTTATGTACATTTAATCTTTGATTTATCAATTATTACGTACTTTTTCGGTTCATCTCTTTTAGCCTTATAGGTGAGTCAACAAGGACGTTCAAAGGAAAAGCTAGGAGGTACTATTGCACTCCCTGGGATTATTCGTGTCGCTAATAAAAAAGATAAACTAACACAAGATACACAATCCTAGCTACCAAATCTTTTAATTTGAATTTTAGTTTAAGTTAATGTAAATTTTGCTGGAATCGTTACTAACTGAATTCTAAAAACCAGAAGCGCTGGGAAGACAGGTTGATTTTTTATACGCTTCCTTCACCAATGTATAAAAATGTTAATAACTAATAATTTATTTTATTTTTAGTAATTGAATAGGTTATGATAAACGGTTTACTCTGTATATCAAATTTTATTTAATAGATTGAAAAAATATTATTTGCTTCACAAAATATTTAAAAACTGTTGAACGTAAGTTATTAAATTTAACATGAAATTTTATTTTCAATAATTTAGTGAAAATTAAAAAAAAAAACGGTAGCACAGTGGGGTCGCGGCATAGTAGAGACATTGCATAGTAGGGTCCAGTATAGATTTAATCTGACAGTGATTAAAATCACTATCATAAAAAACGCTTCGATGCAAATCTGTAGATAGTGTTTAATTTTAAAAAATTGATGGATAATTGCAAAAGCAACATCAACTTCTATTAAAATAAAATACAAAACCCATAATTATCATACAAAAATAGTATATTTTTCAATATGGTAGCCATTTGCGTATAGAAGATAGATCGTCGGGACAAATTTTTTTTTTTCATTTTGTAGTACATAAAATAAGCTTTAATTTTATATATGTTTAAAGGACGCAGTATTTCCGGAACATTTTCAAAAATTAAGTTGAAAAAGTTATTTTTTGTAAAAAAGTTACTATTTTAAATCCTCCCAGTGAGCAGAATAAGTGTTAGATTTTCAAAAAAAATTATATCAAATGAAAGGGAAATATCTAAGGTTTCAATACAAAAAAATATTATTTTTATTTGTTCATTTTTGAAAAAGTTATGGCAGTTTTAAGTACAAAAAACATCCCGATAAAATGTAATTTTTATCGCAAACATTACATTTTTTTTTAAATTTTCGACAGCCATTTGCACATAGAAGATAAGATGTCGGGACAAATTTTTTTTTTTCATTTGATAGTATATAACATAACCTTTGATTTGATATATGTTTAAAGGACGCAGTATTTCCGGAACATTTTCAAAAGTTCAGTTGAAAAAGATCTATGTTTTTTACAATATTTTAAGTTTTGAACGCCCCCTATATAAGGGGAAATTGTCCAATTTTAATAAAAAGTATGTCAAATGAAAGATGTACTTATAATGTATTTAGAAAAAAAAAATTTGTGCTGATATATACATTTTTCAAAAAGTTATAGCATTTTTAAGTTGAAAATTTAAAATCGAAAATCGAAAATTTTAACACAAAAATAGTGTTTTTTTAACTACGGCAGCCGTTTAAATGTAGAAAAAATAATGTCAGGACAAATTTTTTTTTTTCATTTTATAGTACATAAAATAAGCTTTAATTTGATATATGTTTAAAGGACGCAGTATTTCCGGAACATTTTCAAAAGTTCAGTTGAAAAAGATCTATGTTTTTTACAATATTTTAAGTTTTGAACGCCCCCTATATAAGGGGAAATTGTCCAATTTTAATAAAAAGTATGTCAAATGAAAGATGTACTTATAATGTATTTAGAAAAAAAAAATTTGTGCTGATATATACATTTTTCAAAAAGTTATAGCATTTTTAAGTTGAAAATTTAAAATCGAAAATCGAAAATTTTAACACAAAAATAGTGTTTTTTTAACTACGGCAGCCGTTTAAATGTAGAAAAAAAAGTGTCGGGACAAATTTTTTTTTTTCATTTTGTAGTACATAAAATAAGCTTTAATTTGATATATGTTTAAAGGACGCAGTCTTTCCGGAACATTTTCAAAAATTAAGTTGAAAAAATTAATTTTTGTAAAAAAGTTGCCATTTTAAATCCCCCCCAATGAGCAGGTTAAGTGATAGATTTTCAAAAAAATGATATCAAATGAAATGTAGATATCTAAGGTTTTAGTATATAAAAAAAATTATGTTGATTTGTTGATTTTTCAAAAAGTTATGGAAGTTTTAAGAAAAAAAAGTGAAAAAATTTCGAAAATTAGCGATTTTTAAATTTGTAATTTTTTTGGATATTTCCCCCATTTGCGGGGAACGAGGGAATTTTTTTCAATTTTTAAGGGTAATGTCTTCAACTAGATACGATTTGTGATCTTTTGACGTATTTTTGAAAGAAATCGGTCCAGTGAGAGCTGAGAAAAAGTGGCAACAGACATAAAAAAAAAAAAACACATCATAGTAAAATTAATACCTTCTCCGCTTCGCATCGAAGCTAAAATAGGGGACAAATAAAAAAAAATCCAAAATTCATCATACAATGGTACAGAAGTATTTACATTATAGCTCTCTAGTATATATACTCCTACTGACCTTTATGATTTGCCAAAGATCGTAGTTAAGGTAGTGCAATCATTCTTCTATTTCAAAAATTCCAGTGGACTAACAAATAATTGTAAAAATAATAGGGGTTAATGGAATTAAACGCGTTAAAAAAATGTACAGCTACACTTTAGATGTAGTCTAATGGTAGATTCAAATAGCTTAATTTTTTTTTTACAGATTTATTTATTTTTGAAAGAACTGCATTCAACTGAAGTAATTATATCTGCAAATAACTGTTATGATATTAATAGAAAATTTGTATACACTGTAAGTAAAAAAATGGTTTAATTAAATTATTTAAAGTTAACGATATATTTATAATTTTTTTACGTTCTTTTATGTATTATAATGTAGTATATATATTATTTTACAGATAGCAGGTTCCATCACAGCATACCTTGTTTTAGTTTTGACATTGATATTGGACCGATACTAACATTCATTACTAATTGTTAATTTTGTTTTCAAAAAATCTTTGAAGTCTACATTATTTTAATACATATTAGTTATGTAATTTAATTATAAGAATTTAAGAAATATCATACATGTGTAGTGAAGTTTTATATTTTATTTAATTACTCATAATTATTTTATTTAGTCCCTGTGGATAGAGTATAAGAATACTTCTACGGCCCCTCTGCCATCCATAAGAGCCAATTTATGAGATTGTGTCAGGTCAGGCAAAATTTTGACAAAGAGTATGAGAGGTCCTGAACAGAACTTAGGCGGATTGTCCCATCTTGGATGTATATGGACACAACAGGTGAGAGGCAATAACGGTAAAGATGATGAACGTCTAAAGAATAAAATGTTTGATACCAGCCGGAAAACTTGTAACTTTTTCACCAGTCATGAGTACAACGCTAATAGTATCAACAATGTAAGGACATCATCACTCAACTTTAGGCTGGAATAATGTATAAAGAAGAATGATAGATACAGAGTAAGAATAGGTACGCAGAATGTTGGATCATTAACTTGTAGAAGTATTGAAATAGAGAAAAGTTAACATTTGTTGTGTGCAGGAAACTAAGTGAAAGAGAGATCACAGATTGATTATATAATGTGGAAAAGAGAGAGCGTAAAGGAGTAAAAGATATTAAAGTTATCTCTGGCAAGAATGTAACTTCACAAAATAGAATGATAGTAATGGTGTTGTTGTGTAGTGGGAAGAGAGTATACAAAAACAGAAAGAATACAGGAGAACAATTGAGGGTCCGGTGGTGGAAATTGAAAGGGGATAAAGAAATACAGTTTTTAAAGATGGTAAAAGATAGGACGATGTGGAATGTTGAGAGAGTCATACATGAAGTGTGGAATACATTTGATAGTTATGTGAAGAATACTGCAAAGGAGATTGATAGCAATTGTAGGAAAAGAATGCCAGGAAAAAAGGGAATCTGATAATGAGATGAGGACGTTCAAAAAATCATAGAGAGTAAGAAAAAGCAGTTCAAAATATGACAGAAGAGTAAGAGGAGAGAAGATTGGATGGAATAAAACACTTGTGCAAAGAAGCCAATTATGCCGTAAGTAAGATGAAGTTTAAGAAGTAATCTTGAAAAATTACTGAATGAGGAGTATCCAAAAGAGACATTAGAGGATATCTCATAGAAAGAGGGTCTGAAGATTTAATCGGTAAGAAAGAGATATGGGAAGCTCAGGCATCAATGAAAAAGATCAAAATAAAAGGACCTGATGAAATGCCAGTAGAAGTATGGACAATATTAGGTGGTGTTGGCATTTTGGTGGTTGAAAGATCTTTTTAATAAAATCCTATTAGAATAAAAGATGCCAAAATAATTGGAGGAATAGTATTGCAGTATTAATATGTAAAGGTAAAGAAGATATTGTAATATACATTTGGATTAATTGCAATTTCCTGGTCTATTGTAATTGGACCAGAAAGTAAATATTTATAAACATTTTTGATAATGGTTGTGTTATTAGAATTTAAAAACAAAATGTTTTAGTACATAAGACAAAGTGGAATGAATTATTGGGGAGCGTACTTCAGGAGCACCATAGGTAATCTTATTTTTGTGTTGTACGTTTTTGACAATAAGTCTTTACTATCGTTTATTACTTTATTGTACTTTAAGGGATAACACCACTGTAGAATTTTTAAAAAATCAATTTTTATTATTTTCTTAAAAAATACTCTAAAGCTGCTTGAAGTGCTTGGGGATATATCCATGTTTGCAGTTGAGTTCTGACGTTTCGGACTCATTGCAGAGTCCATCTTCAGAGTGATAGTTGCTAGTCGGTGGCTGCAACTATACTGGCCAGTATAGTTGCAACAAGACAATCCATGAAAGCTTTAACACATGCATACTCTGAAGCTTTTAAAATATAAGAAAACTATTTTTTTTCATTCAATTTCGTGTTTTTTTTTCAGGTGCCTCTAAAACGACTATTTACATTAGCGCTCGAAATGTACTACGTACCAATTTGTCTATTTATTGTTAGCCTCTCTAATTCATTACTAGATGTCACTAGGTACCTCTACTTACTGTTTTCAGCTACAGTTTGAATTATGATTATGATATTACGATATATTATAGTTTTGAAATACGTTATAATTGAAACTCCATTGAAGATATGAAAAATGAGATATGGGCCACATTATTTCACAAAATTTCGACCGATCCGAATCCGCAGTATGACAAATGTTCGGAGTCAATGTAAACGGAAGAAGGCGAGAGCAGCGGGTGCCCTGCATTCTTTTTCTTATAAACTGCCTCTTCCTCAAGAAGTATTTGATGCTGTGAGGCCTGTCTATGAGGAATTAAATCGAGTCAAGTTATTGAGTCGTTGTTTAAGAGGCTATACCAGATTAGAAACGAAAATTTTAACGCCACCGTATAGAAGTTAGCTCCCAAGAATTCTTCGAGTGGTAAAAACGAATTCGATATTGCAGTAAAATCTTACTGTAACTTCAACGACGGCATGTCTAGCATATTGGTGATCATGATCACATAGACGTGGAAATTGGCGTTCAGGCTAATAATTTCTGCATGGAAGCCGATGCTTTGCTCGTTAAGCTAAGCGCTCGTTAAAAAATGCAATAAAAGAGGCACGCTCTTCGCTAAAATCGTCGAGAAAACAAGAAATTTTAACCATGTATGAAAAACAACATTCTTAAGAGAAACACGTAGCGGTTTTTAGATAAGTTAATTTAAATAGTTTTTATAAACAAATAAAGGGTATTTTTTTTATTGAAATTGAATTTTTTACTTGATACTCTTATCAAAATTGTCATATGTTTAAAAATTATACCAAATAGAAAATTAATACCTAGGGTATTTATAAAAAATTGTTTTGATTCAATAATTTTTCAAAAAGTAATGTTAGTTAAAAATAAAAGTTAAAAAATGTCGAAATTTACCGACTTTAAAAATCGTAATTTTTAGCAAGTGTCTCGGATTTACGGGGAACGAGGGAAATTTTTTAATTTTTGATAGATACTTCTTCAACTAGAAAATCACGACTTGTGATTTTTTGACGTATTGTTGAAAAAAATCGGGCAACTGAGAGCTGCAAAACATAGCGACAGACACACATACTCGCGAAATAAACGTCATAATAAATGCTTAACGCTTTAAATGTAATCTAAAACTGCAAAAATTGTTCAACATAAAATTATCTCAAAATATTTGCTGGATCAAAAGTTTTTGAAGATATCAGTACATGATGGGACACTTTGTATAAAACATATATAGTTCTATTGTGTGGTATTAAGAATGACGTATTTGTTTGAAATAATGAATATTAGAGTACAGTCAGTACAATATTCATATGATTATTTGAACACGTGTTCAACGGAATCGTCGACACTACGTCATATTACTATTGTGGAGTAAAATCTTTGATATCAGTAATCATATGATTTATCACACAATGATGATTACTGGCGAACGGTAAGGGGGAGTGTGTTGTCTGTGTGCTGCATTCGCTACCAGTGTAGAATAGCTGTGCTATATTAACGCTTTGACGATCAACGCACATTCATCCAGTGTTTGGCATCACTGATGTTACCTTTTTTCCACGTGAAATATTTTTTCTTAATAAGTTGAAGTATAAATAAGAGGAAAGTTTAGTTAATGGATACTACAAGCAAACTATTGCATCTGTTCGTGGTAATTATAGTTTTTTATATTGCTATTAATATCATCACTATTTTTGTAATCTTTTCATTCGTCACGATTGTAAATATAATTGTGCGCATGTGTTTTTACATCACTGTAAAAGCGACCGTCAAATCGATCGCCGGCACTACGAACTGGCATTTAAAAATAAACTTCAGTTTTTCTTAAGATTTAATTATTAAACGTACTTATGAATTTGTAGTTTTCTTCAAGTTACTTTTTTGATATAGTACACAATATCAAGTTTTATAGTTAAGATTATTGATGCTGATTAAAATCTTTATAAATGTTTCCTTTTGTTGATTCAACTCATATTTGACGTCTTTTAATATATGAACTTTATTTTATTGTTCGACTTAACGAAAAAGTCAGTTTTTGCTTATCGACTTGTAAGCTTTGTGTTTACCAAAATAATTTCTGTGTCTCTAAAATGTATTTTAATAAGTTAAAAATTCTTAAAAACACTTTAAATAAGAGAATTTTTTTTTTTTGATTTAAAATTTTTGAAGTTTGCTTTAAAATAAGCATTTTAATGTGGCAACATTTATTAGTCTCAATCTAAAACGGGCAGTCGAGAAAATTTCGGTACTTCGTGTAGAATAGTTTTATATGTGTAATTTTAGTTCAATTTTTTTCTGTATTTTCAATACAATTACATTAATTATAATTACATTATAAATAATTTATGAGTATTATAATAAAAGAATAAATATGGTGAGAATGGAGAGAAAATAATAAGAGGAATTAGTTATTATATGAATATTTATACTTTGTACTTTGTCTTCTTCTTTTTTCTCGCCTTAATTCCAACTACTTGGGGTCAGCCACCCTTATCTTAAATTTCCACTAGACGTGATCACCCACATCATCTACTTTCATATCAGCCGTCTTCATATCGCATTCAATTACATATACTTTGTGCTATGTAAAAGTTTTATTTAAGATGATTTGGTACTATAATAGTTTTAGGTCTCCGATGTTCTCTATCCAAACCGTTCTTTCATATTCTTATTTATTACGTGATTTTTATTAATTTTGTTTATTGAAATAAAAAAAAAACATGCTAATAAAAATATAGTTTTTTTTTCATAGCTTTTATTATGTAAATATTATAGCTCGACAATTACACAAAAAAAATATAATTACTATTCTGTGTCTTCCCTTCCCCTCAAATAATTACTACACTATATGCGTTGTCTGATTATGCATTTATGCAAAGCACTTACACTTTTGGATTTTAAATTTACGCCCATTATATGTATTTGAATTTTATACTCAAAATATTTTTATAAATTCCAGAAATTCTCTAAGTCGATTTCAATATTTTTACAAAAATCACTCTAGCTTTGTCAAAGTAAGATTATAAAAATATGTTTATTTATGATTACAATGTAACAAGACTTTTGTGGTCTAGCGCATCTCAGCCTATTAAGACTAGGTTGGCGAGACAACAGTTTACCTTGATTTCAAAGTAAGTTTTATGACAAAGACCTAGCTCGTTGATACATCTGATATACCTAAAAGATGCAGTTTTCTAATCTTTATTCAATTATTTGAATTTAATATACTTAGTAATAAACTTTACGCAGTACTGCCTATACAAATACTTAGTCTAATAAACTAGCTTGTAGATACGTAAATCGTATTATGGACCAAAATATATTAATACACCCTTTCATTTTATTTTTATTTTCTATAAATTAATTAATTATAACTTATGATTTTTAAATTTCAATTATGTTACAATTGCGTTCTTTATTATGTCCAGCTAGTTATAGAGGTACAATTAATAAAAACAATAATATTTTTTTTTATTAAATAAAGGAGTTTATTAGTATTTATTGAAACAAAAGAATTAAAAGAACAGTTATTAAAGATAATATTTAAATTCATAAAATAATATTTATTATAATTGAAATAGTATATATTTATAAATTAAAACTTAGAAATTATTGATTAAGCAATCTCCGGTGAACGTTTTTATATTTAAAAATAATTACTTTAAAGATAAGATGCTTAGCTTGTATGTTATTTAAATTAAAAATTTGTATAATTACATTTAATACTTTCCGGATGACAATATTATTTAGATGATTCTACTTTATATATGATAATATATAAATATATTATCATAATAAATCATAATAATGATAATTGATATATGTATGCAATATTACTACAATATTTGTCTACTTATGGGTCCTAAAACTATTTAGATTAAAAAAGTTATATTTTTATGTTTTTTAAAAATAATAAAAAAATGAATTTTTCAAGCTTGTTATATCAGAACAATATACTAATTATGCTATTGAAAATATTAAAATATCATTAAATATTAAATAGTAATTTTTAATGAATATATAAAGTAAAATACAATTTTAAACTGACTTAATGAATATATTTATTTAAATCAGATAATACCGAATGATTTTTTTAATATTAGACACTCGATGTCCCTTTAAATAATAATCATGATAAAATCAGAAAATTATTATTGGTATTTTTTAGTTTTATGTATTTCTCGATTTACCAATTATTAAATATATTTTAATTCATTCATTATACCTTGTAAGAGTTTAAACTTTATTTTTTTTAAAGCTACATACATATTTAACTGGCCGACATATGTAAATAATATTTATTTAAAATAAAAAATAATCTAATTAAGGAAATGATTTTTGAATGATTACTTCTGAAGCTATTAACATTTTCAAATATAAATATAGTGATAGTGGCAAATTAAGTAATTTGTCACGATAAAATAACATACCCGTTCTATACCTCCACTTTATACATAAAAATATTAACAATTTCCGAAGTACTGATCCAAAAGTTGTTATCAACTAATTATTTTCTTAATTAGATAATTCTTTATTTTATTTTATAAGCTAGTTAAATTATTTTGATATTTAAAAAAATTAAGTTGACGTTATTATAAGGTATGAAAGATGAATTAAAAATATTATAATAAACTGATAAATTAAGTAATATATGAATCTACTAAAAATAACTTTCTTAATAAAATTACTATTTAAAAATAAATTTAGTGACTAGCATTAAGAGAGTATTGTAATTTTTAAATAACAATAAACGTTTTAAAATAAATATTCAACAAAAAAATAACCTAAGACTTAAATATTATAAATTTATCTTTTACAAAACTTTACTTTAATACTATTTTTTTATTTAATATGTTATTATATCCAATACTATTAAAAAAAAAATTATTCATTTTGCTCAATAGCTTTATTGATTTTTAAAGTCTGAGCTTTAGCTTATATCCTAAATTTTACTCTGGTTCCATACACACAAATATGGCAGTCCTTTAGATCAGATAAAAATGTCCTATAAAGTGGTGTGATATTACCTTCCCATCAATTAAGTTATTTCTATTTTGTACCAAGTCGGTAAATTATCGCTTTTTTATATTTTTAAAGTGAAAAGCAAAAATAATCTTTTATATAGAAATTTATAACGTCACGTAATTTTTTAAATGGCAAATTTTCTTAAAAAAAAGGTGTTAATATAGATGATGTGATTTGCACTTTAAACAATATTTAGAGCTTCATGTCAATTTTTTATTGTCATAAAACTTAAGATCTAAAGTTATGCTAAAGGTTATTTTCTGTTATGAAAATAACTAATACATGTCTCAATACTAACATGGCTCTCAATTTCTAGCAATATATCAGTAACTTTCAAGTAAATGCGTGTCTTATAAAAATTCATTCAAATTGGAGGTTAATTGAGTAAATAAGAAAGATATAAGATATTAAAATAAACTAGATAGTGTAAAGTCGTAAAGACTGAATATATTTAAAAATAAAAGTATTTACAAAATACAATGATCATAGGGTAAACTACGACTTGGCCAACTAGGCCATGGCCTAACCTAATATTTTGGATTCTTACCGAAGAATGAACGTGTAATTTTATTTATGCTTTTTTATCATATTAAAGCGTATATACTTTTATATGAATTCTATATCAAAATTCGAGGCTTATTCCAAAGTGATAATTACATAATTGTCATATATAAAATATAAATACACCCTCGTAGTTATCATTAGAATATATGTAACATGTTTTATATCATTAAAAAGTTATCTATTTGTTGATTAAAATTTTATAATTTTAATTTAAACTAAAATAAAGTTATATTCAAAAATTAAGCTTCATTGTTCAAAAAAAAAAAAAACATTAAAATTTAAATATAAAGATTCAAAAAATCTGTTAATCTTGATGGGACAATCCAAAGTTTTGCACTACTTTTATTAAGAATAATAAAATCATTATAGGAAAGAAAAATAATTTTTTTTATGATGATTAATTGTGTAATTATAGCTTAATTACTCATTAGTGATTATTTCAAAAATGTGATCTGATAAAAACAAATTTGAAGCCAAATTCGAAAACAGCGTCGAATATCCATAAATTGTAAGCAAGAAAATGGATGTTGTTCTGTGTAATTAATCATTATAGTTATTAAAATATTTAATAATTATAAAAATATAATGTGAATAATTCTATTTTATAAAAAAAATTATAATAATTAAAACCAAAAGGCAACTCATACATTATTTTTGCTTTCACTAATGTAAATGTCTAGTTTCTTCTATGATGATACCCTACATATTAGCGTTACTTTAACTTAAATCCTATTATAATTGTACAATTAAATTTTCTGTATAAAATTTGTAATGTTTACTGTACAATTTTTTACTATTCAATAATTTAAATTATTCAATTTTAATTTTCAATTTATTTACTGACCATTTTATAGCATAATCTTCTCTATTTTCTTTCTTCTTCTTGAATTCTAATTGAGTAACACACACAACATGCACACAATTTTAACGACAATGAATAGTTCCTAAATAAATAATAGTGAAAACAGACTGCTATAACCGGAAGTGAATCATTTCGTCTTTTTACTAAGCCGTTTATTTTGAATTATTCTATTATTTAAATTATTTAAACAAATTGTTCAGCTATTGAAGCCTATTGATAATACCATGTTAAGTTAAAGTAATGTTTTTATAGTTAGGATATTTAAATGATCATTGCTCTATGTAAACCTTGAAATTTAAACTATTATGACTGTTAGTGCATTATTATCTGAAATAATCAACCTAAGAGTCTAGAGGTAGTTAAGAAAAAAAAATTAATTTAATATGTTTATTTATAATAATGCTACAAGGTTAATTGTAATAAAATTATGATTTTGTACGGTACTTTCATTTTTTTATTTATGTAAAATTATATTATTAATATAGTAAAAGGAAATATAACTGTAGTAGTGTTCTTAAATAAAATATGTTATAAAGACATGACTCATTTTTATTTCTTGGGTTATTTACTTAAACATAGGTATTTGTAACTATAAAACTAATATTAATATGATATTTGTATATTTATACACTTTAGTGCTGACAGCGTCTTAATTTGAAGTCTAAAGAAGATCATTTAAAGTTATCAAAATGTCTTTTGACGATCTTCTACAAAAAATTGGAAATTTTGGAACTTACCAAAAAAGAATTTTTTTTTTCTTATGTTTGCCGGCAATTTCATGTGCTTTACATAAATTATCTGGTGTGTTTTTACTTGCCAAACCCGATCACAGGTATGATTTATTTTACGTATTATACAATTTAAAATTTATAATTTTTTTTTTCACTCAAATGCAATTTGTGTAATGTATGTATTTTTTATTTAGATGCCAATTACCGGACGAATTACCTGATGCAACATATTCTTTGCCTCCAGATATTATGAATAGTTCATACCCTTATGACTCTATGACTAAAAAATGGTCTTCGTGTAAAATGTATACTATGAACAATAATAATACTAATAGTCTATCGAATTCTTCCCAAAAGTGTGACCATTGGATTTATGACAAATCTATATTTAAAAATACTGCTGTTATGGAGGTTTGCATTTGACAGCTTATTATTTTAAAAATATACATGTAAATACATAGTAACTATTTCCAGTTTAACTTGGTATGCAATAAAAATTTTTACAAAGGTTATTCAGACTCTTTGTTGATGGTTGGGGTTATGCTAGGATCTATAATATTTGGCTATGTGTCTGATAAGTAAGCAATTTTAATCTAATTGGTTTTGAATAATTTAATTTTTGCTTTAATTGTTATTAATTTTGCACTAATAACAAATATTTAGCTAAATTATTGTTTTAAACATGTATGTTAAAATAATATTATAACATAATGTTCTCAGATATAGAAATCATGGGAAATAATGTAACTATGGTATTAAATTTTTTAAAAGTATAAAAAGTTCAAAGTTTGAATAACTCTATAACTTTGATATCTAATAGACAAACCTAATTCATTTTAAATTAATTACAGGAAAACAAATTTATTATATTCCTGTTAATTGTTGATAACACAATTAAAAAAATTCAAATAATTGTAATTTTTATAATATAACAGTTATGTTAATGCACATAAAATTATATTACTTCAACTTTTATTGATATGTATAAGAATACTTTGATAAGTTAACATTTTAAATTAATTGGTTGGATATAAACCAAAATCATAGGCATGATTTGAAATTTAGGACTAAACCTTTTAAAAATAAAAAATATTATATATAATATTTTTTAAGTTGAAAAAAATTATTTTTGACCTGATAAATTTTTTTAACTCTACCTATGCCAAAAGCTAATAAGTTATGTAAATGATTTTTTGAGATTTTTAACAATTTTTATAGAGAAAGATGTTATTGTTAAATTCAAAAAATTTACTTTTCAATTTATAGATAAGATTTGTATATTGGACTTAAAAAATTTTAATTTGCATAAGATATTAATAATATTAAACATTTTTCGATTCTTTTTAAAAATTATTAAAATTAACATACATGTTTTTGGAAAATAAATTTATTTTAATGGTTTAAAAGTTTTACTTTATCATAAATCAATTTGATCATTATAAAATAATGCTGGGTACATATTGTAAAACTACTTACAATACTTATAATTAAAATAGAGTGGAACTATTTCATAGCACGTATTCATTTTATGTTTTATGTTTATCAGAATTGGAAGAAAACATGTTTTTACCATATCTGTTTGGCTCCAGGGAATTGCTGGTATCGGATTAGCATTAGCTCCAGAATTTTGGAGTTTTGCATTCCTTAGAGTATTTGTAGGAGCATCTACTTCAGGACTCTACATGGCGGCTTATGTTATTGGTAACACGATTGTTATATTTTATCTTTTCATTAAAGCAATACTTTACATTGTATGATATTGTATATGAAATACCCAGAACTCAAGAGGTCAAAGTGAAATTTTAGAAAAAAAAATGAGTGAAGTGCAAAACTAAAAAGTAAAATAACCACCCTTTCGATTAGACTAAAGATCAAAGTGATATGTTAAATCCAAATGCTATTTATCAACGATTACTATTACTTAATGCACCAAAAAGACAGCTTTTATCAATTTTTAAACTCAATTATCTCGAAAAGTTTTTATTACTTTGATCACTTTAGTTTAAGTGTCTCATCATATAATAAAAATGAAGTTAAAAAGTAGAAGAGTTTAATTACAACAGTGGCAATTTCTATTGATTTTTAAATTATTAATAATAATGGAAACATACAGTCAGCAGACTGTCGTTGAAATTTACAAAAATTATATGAGTAAAATTTAGTAAAATGTGGGTTGATTCATAAAAAAAATGGTAGCAAAGTGGGGTCGTGACATAGTGTGGACGTTGCATAGTTGGGAAAAGTATAGATGATATCTGACAGTGATTCCAATCACTGTCATAAGAACGCTTTGTTGCAAATCTGTAGATAGTGTTTAATTTTAATAGTTTCTGATCACATATCAATACAAAAAATTAAAGGATTTTTTCCAGTATTTGTGGATTATAAGTTCAACAAGATTAAAATTATGTTCTTTTAACGTATTGGTCATTAAAATTGGTCAAGTGAGAGCTGAGAAAAATTAACGATATACACAAAAATAAACCATATAGTAATATATTTTAATATGAATAAGAAAGGCCTTCTCACAAGTGTAGACTAAAGTGATAAGATCCTCGATATTCATTAAATATTTTGATTGAATGTTCTTCTTTATTATTCATTTTTAATTTTTTTTCCATCTCAAAAAGAATTAAGAAAAAAATTACTTTGACTGGCGAAGTTTGAACCTCATACCCCGAGCGTGATAGACTGTATAATTTGCGTTGTATCCACCGTACACTATATTTACGAAAAAATAAAAAAACATTTAAACCAAATCAAAAATTCAAACTCGCTTTTCATAACTTTGAGGTAGAAAAAAAAATAAAAATAATTTTAAATTTGTATTTAATGCAAGTTAGATTCATGTAACTTTTATGAAAATTGATGAACTTATTTNACATTTAAACCAAATCAAAAATTCAAACTCGCTTTTCATAACTTTGAGGTAGAAAAAAAAAATAAAAATAATTTTAAATTTGTATTTAATGCAAGTTAGATTCATGTAACTTTTATGAAAATTGATGAACTTATTTTTATGGTTAACCATAAAAAGTAAAGTATTTTAAAATAATTTGAATACAAAAATGGTATATTTTGTATATAAAAAATATTACGGCAAACATTTGCACGTAGAAGATAAGTCGTCGGGAAATTTTTTTTTTTTAATTATAGTACGTAACATAAGCTTTAATTTGACATATATTTAAAAGACGCAGTATTTCCGGAACATTTTCAAAACTTAAGTTGAAAGATTTGAGTTTTGTAAAAAAGTTGCTATTTTGAATCTCCTTTTGTGGGCAGGTAAAGGATCAGATTTTCAAAAATATTATAACAAATAAAAGGAAATTATTTAAGGTTTCAATATTAAAATTAAATTATTTTGATTTGTTAATTTTTGAAAAAGTTATGGTAGTTTTAAGAAAACAAAGTGAAAAAAAATATCAAAAATTAGCGATTTGTAAATTTGTAATTTTTTGGAGATTTCCCTCATTTACGGTGAACAATGGAAATTTTTTCAATTTTTGAGGGTAATGTCTTCGACTAGATACAATTTAAGATCTTTTGACGTATCGTTGAAAAAAATCAGTTCAGTTCGAGCTAAGAAAACGTGGCAAGACACAAAAAAAAAATCATAGTAAAATTAATACCTTCTCAACTTCGCATCGAAGCTAAACATTATTATTAACAATGTGCTAAAGGTCGTCTTGATAGTGTTAGATTTATAAAGTCATGGATATGACTAGTGTTTACACAAAACTGTTGAAAACATTATTCTGATAGATAAATTTATGAATTTATGTCATAAAAACATGAATTTCGAAAAATAATTTGAAGACAATCGATTACTGAACTCATTTTTAAATTTTGTCAAAATTATCCATCCCATAAAAAAGTTTGAGTAAAAAAAACAATAAACTTTTCAAAATTAGATATGTGTTGAATCAATGTTCCCCTAAAGTTTTTTTGGATTAAAGCAAGTAAATTTTAAATGTTACAATTTGTTGAGAATTTTAAGGAAAATACACGTAATGTTAAGTTAATATTTATGGAATGCTGTTTTAATGTAAAATATTAAGGTATTTCATTTGCTGTCTGAAATTGTTAAAGAAAACTTAATATTATTCAAAGACATGCTCAGCACATGATTTTGTGTAAAAATATAATTTTTTTGTTATGTGTTATAATAATGCATGAAAACTTACAAGACTTACATCTTTCGATGCGCATATCAATAAGATTATTAAAAACAATCAGACCAAGTTGGTTAACCTTGTAAATATTTTGTTTTTTAGTTTTAATGTGATGCAGTGTCTCAGATCTAACTGGCAACGTTTATAACTTTTTATAAAATTACCGTATCGTTAATTATATATTTTTTAATTATTATTATCTTCATAGAATACATTTAAAATCATTTTTATTATTTCTAACTTTAAGCATAAAAATAATATTAAAACAAATTTTTTCTTTTTTAATTATGAAATTTTCATCGTATTTTTATAAATATTTTTGATAAATCGATTATAATTATAGAACAAATATTTATTGAAGTATTCGCATTTTTTTTAGACTCTGTGAGTATGAATGCGGGAGTAGTACACGTACACAGTACGGGCTGTACACTTTATGTCTAATACCCATTCTATGTGTTAAAATACGTGTAACTTAATGAGACTTTCCTTAAAATTAAAACCAACCAACAAAATTTTTTATAAACAAAGGGTTAAAAATAGTTTATTTTAATTTTTTGAAAAAATAAAATTTTCTTATTAGATGAATAATAAATAATATGATAGAAGTGTAAGAAGACAATAATTAATAAAATAAAATGTTTTAATTAAATACTGATTTATTAGTTGTTAACGACAAGCCTTATCATAGTTGGTTTATTTTCTATTATATGAGCTGCTAAAATAACTCGATTGTTATGTATATTATCATTTAAAAAAATTCCGAAAAATATTTTAAAATTGAAGAATTTTTATTATTAAATTGTTGAAAAGGATAAATTATGCTTGTTTGCATTTAAAATTTTTTTAACTTAATAAAAATTCATGAATCTAAAAAGATTCAATTTCTTTTAAAATATAAAATCGAGAAATTTTCAAATTTCTCGATTTTATATTTTACATTTTTTACTTTAAAATGCTATAACTTTTTAAAAAATGTATGGATCAATACAATTTTTTCAAGAGAAATAATATTTTTTAATAATTCTTTTTTCATTCAGGATATTAATAAGAAAATAGTAGATCATGTAGCTTTTGGAATAATCTACCAATTTTTTTAAATTAAACACTATCTAAAGATTTGCATCGAAGTGTTTTTTTTGATAGTGATTGTAATTACTGTCAGTTATAATTATACTTGATCCAACTACGCCATGTCACCACTGTGCCGCGACCCCCCCCCCTGCTGGGTTTTTTTTCAATCCGATTATATTGTTCTATTAGGTATACAGCCTTCTAGGTATTGTTCAAAGAACGTTTATGTTCCACGATTGTTTACAATTTATTGTAATAACATAAATAAATATTTTGAATATTAAATTTATTATAATTAAATCCAATAATGGTTGTAAATATTTTCTATAGAATAATCAATAAAAAAAATATGATTTCTAATATTTTATGTGGAAGAAAAAATATACTTTAAAAAAACTAAAAACACGCTTTCATAGCATATGAAACTAAAAATTATATTTAAAATTTTAGTTCGATGTGCTTTTTTAGTTTTTAAAATTATATTTATTTTAATATAATTTCATAAATGTTTGTACCCCCCAAAAAAAAAAAACGAGCACAGAAATAATTATATATAATTATTTTTATAATTTTTTTAAAATTAAAAAATACTGACTTAGTTTAAACGTATAAGTCGGATTTATCCATCAAGTTTAAAACTAGTTGTCCTCTAAAATATAAATAATCAAACTGTCTTCTAGTATATGTAAATCGAAACGTTTTATGATAATGATTAAAATCACTATCATTTAAGTATTTCAAATATATTTTGTTTATGGCTATAACCTCCTCGAACCAAAAAAAAAATTGAATTATAGTTTTTTTAGTTAAATATACTCATTATAATATAAAAATGGTAGAAAAAACATGCTCGTCTTCTGGTNTTTTTAGTTAAATATACTCATTATAATATAAAAATGGTAGAAAAAACATGCTCGTCTTCTGGTCAACTTAACAGAAATGAGTAAATAAAAAATATTTTTATCAATTAGTTAGAAAAAGTAGAAACAGACAAAAAAATATAATAATAAAAACATGATAGTAAAATTAATATATTCTTGGCTTGACATCGAAGATAACATCAAATGGGTATATTTTTAAATGGTAAGAGATAGATATGAAACGAATTTAACCACTGATAAATCAAAAGATAAATACTATTTAACAAAGCCAAAAAAAAAAAATTTACATGATAATTACAATTAAGAGAAATTTGTGGCCAATGATAAGTCAATTATTCTGTAAACATATAAATTAAAGAGTATACTCGTGTAAAAATTAGAAAAAATTTTAAATCGAATATTTAAAAAAAAAAAATAGTGATTATTAAAATTTTACTTTCAGACACAATTACACTATGAATGAAATTTTAGTTATTTTTAAATATATTGTAACCATAGTTTGTTGTAATTTGTTCGTTAATTAAGCTAATATTGTAAAATATTTACTTTAACAAAGTTTAAGTAATTAGAATTGGCGTGTATTACATTATATGCCAATAATGAAAAAAATCTCATGAAGTGGCTATTCTTCTGATTGATTCCGTCAAAGTACTAAATTATTTCATGTTTAACAAAATTAACTGTTTTTTTTATGAAAATTAATGTTTTATCTATATTCTTGGATTTGTACCATAAAATAATATAAAGATAGTGTTTTTTACCATAGAATTTTTTGTTTTTACTTTAACCATAATTTTTTTGTTTTTTTTTTTGTTATAATTACTGTTTGAACAGCAAAAAATTCTTTTGATATGCTTTTTTCTATAATTTATTGAGATTTACTATAGTAATGTATTTTAAGTTTTCTTAACTGAAATTTTTAAAATTATTTTATTGAATGCATTTATTATAAGATAGGAACCGTTTATTAATGTCTATAAGCTTATTAATTGCACTACTCATTCCCCTACACTATACAGATAAAAATAAATAGACCCAAACTTTATTTCTAATCTTAATATTAAACAGTTAATAACTTTCAAAATACTGTTTCAAAAATTTTTATCGACCAGTCATTTTTTTTAGAGATTGTTTTCTAGGTTATAAGTTAGTTAAACTAAAATTTATATAATGTTAAAGGGGAAAGATTTGAGTAGGAACAAATATTTTTTGAAAATTATAGAACGTAGTATATTTTTAACTTTCGAAAAAAAAAATTATTATGTTTTATGTTAACTTTTCTCACAATTGTATTTTAGAATTAGAAAATGATGTTAAAAAAGACATGAAAATTTAAGTAGTAACTTTTGGTTATTTAGTGATGTTGATATTCTTAATCTTAGAACAATAAGTTTTTACAGAGAAATAGGGCGACATCATTAGTGAACAGTTAGGAATTTTTTATTCTCTAAAATTCTTTATCGATATATTTTGATGTCATACTCATTAAGTTAAACAATTATTTGTTTACTGGAAAATTTTCTATAAGTATAATGTAAAAGTATTTTCAATTAACTAAAACAAAAATTGTATTATAAATTGTGATAATACAGTAGGACATTATTTAGATATTTTCTTTGTTGGAGGAACTATTAACTACATCTTATTAAAATCAGAAAAGAAAATTTTTTATTTGAAAACTCAGTGATCTTTTTTCAATGTTAGTGTTCATTCACTGGACACTAGTTGACTTTTTCAATCTATATTTTTTAGAAGTAAAATCTATATAGTTATACAGTACGTATTATTTTGTATTTAAGCTCTATTCACTACTTAATAAACGAAACGTTTTTATTTATAGTTTAAAAGATGTGTAAATTACTTATAATGTGTTGATAGAAAAAAAATGTTTTTAAAAATTGAGTTAGAATTTTTTTTCGTTCTTGAATGACGTTAAATTGTAATAATAAAACTTTTTTTTTGTAATGATTATGCCTATTGTAAATTAAAATTATAATAACTGTATAAAAGTTAATATTTTTTATTTTTAGGTTTAGAATTCGTTGGTTCTAATAAAAGAATGTTTGTGGGTGTAGTCATGCAAATGTTTTTTTCTGTTGGATTTATAGTTGAATCTATTTTTGGATATATCTTTACAGATTGGAGATACTTTCAATTTGCTATTACTATCCCAACATTTATTTTTACTTCATATGTATTGTTAGTATTAGTTTTAAAAGATTAAAATAAGTATACAGTAATGAATTTATTGTATAAATTTATTTTTTTTAAAGGTTTATGCCAGAATCAGTAAGATGGTTGCTAGCTAACGATAAAAAAGAAGAAGCTGTTAAATTATTAAAAAAGATTGCACGTGTAAATGGAGTGGATATGTCGAGTTCGGACGTTTTAAACATCTTGAATAACGATGATGAAGAAGAAAAAGCCGAAATCCATGAAGAAGAAAAACAAAAAGCTACTTTTTTTGATCTATTTAGACATCCTGCCATCAGAAATCGTTCCTTTCTTGTGATGCTTTTGTGGTAATTTATACATTGTTCAAATTCTAAAGTTTTGAGAGTTGTAAAATTATTTTGCTATTAAGTTTTACTTTACAGAATAACTTCAACAATTCTACTATCAGTAGTATGATTTTCAGTATTACGATTTTTATTAGATTTTACGAACATTTATTTTTGAGTTATAATTAATCTAATATAATATAACCTGTTATTATGTTTTTAAAATGTTGATAGTCACCATTTAATATATGTCAATTGTAAACAAATTATATCAATTCATGAAAGCTAAAAGTATTATTAACCTTATAAAATAACTACGTGTTTTGATCTCCGTCATCTTAAGGTTATTTAAATAAATGTTATTAAATAAAATTTCTTGAACGAATATAATTTGAAAAATATACATAGATCGTTTAATTTGAATGTTTGGTGCAGAGCCTGGCACAGCACCTAAAAATTGGATTTCTTTTTATTAACGTAAGTACCAGAACCTAATCTAAGGTTATTTAAAAAATTAATGGATTTTTATTTGTAAACTTATATCTTACTATCAAATTTTTTACTACTCCTGACATATATTACATTACCTACCTATATAAATGGTGTATCGAGATCTGAATTATAAGAGACACAGTATGGAATTAGAAAATGTAATTCAAGGCGTCGTAGGGACCTTACCACTAAGATACCGTGCACTTATGATTTAGATCCCGATACACTTTCTTACAAGTTCAAAATGTTACGTGTGGCTGAGGAAAACACGTACCATTAATACGTTGCATTAATAAAAAATGCACAAAAAGTTATTTTGTACTATAATTACAATTATGTCAAAATTAAACTAAAGTAACTTATTGGAAAAATATTAGATTAATGTAAAACTAAAAATAACCATTATTTTGAGTGGATTAAAAATAACATTGAATTTGTTTTAATATACAGCTATTTATTATCGAGTAATACTCTGATATGCACTAATATATTTCAAATACTCATTACTTTATAAAATGCCAATAGAAAAATGTTGAAAATCTGCTACTGATAAATTAATTTTAATTATTCAAAAATGTTTATTCAATTTATGTTCTTTAAACCGAACGAGCGACGTCCTGCAAGGGTCGTTTCTCGAGCCTCTGCTGTGTAGCATTGCGTACAACGCAGTGTTCCGCGTTCTGCTACCACCGCACGTGTGCCTCTACCGAGGAGGCTGGAGCCTGGGGGAACTGTGCGCTCAGCGCAGTCTTTGGACCGAAGGGGAGTAGACTTAGCCTCGCCTTGGACAAGACCGAAGCAATCCTGTTCACGGGCAGATACAAGTACACTCCATGTCTTGCCTTGCTGGGGGTGGAGATCTCATTAAAGGATTCCATGACTTACCTGGGCCTGGTCATAGACAAAAGTCTGATGTTGGGGTCGCACATCACCCAAGCGGACTAACGGTCCTAGAAAGTCATGGGCAGCCTTGCGGGACTCATGTTCAATCTGGGAGGACCGAGGGAGTTGCAGCGCAGATTCCTAGTCAGCGTTATACACTCAGTCTTCCTGTACGGTTACCCGGTTTGGGCAGATACTCTAGAGTATTCGCCCAAGAACCACATAGCCCTGCTCAGGGTGCAGAGGCGGGCGGCGATCCGGACCGTTTCGGCACACCGAACGTTGTCTGAAGTGACGGCGGGTATCCTGTCGTCACTGCCGCCCGCCGACCTGCTCGCCAAAAAACGTGCTGTCGGGCATGAGCTCCGCCGACAACGCGACCGATCTCTTGAACTTGAGGAAATGACGAAAGGCGAGTGGATTGGACACACGGTGAGATGAAGTATGGTCTCACGTAAGTGATGTCTGCCCACGGCTGCTTTAACGAATACTTTCACGGTATTCGTAGGGCATCCGTGCCGGCATGCGACCACTGCCTGGATCGACCGGGAGAAGCAGACAGCGCTCGCACACCCTCTTCTAGTGTGAAACGTGGGCCCAGGAGAGAGACTGTTTGGAGTCCCGACTAGGGTCCACGTTTCAAATCGACAGTTCCAGGACGGTTCACATTAATGCCAGTCGAGTTATTAAATATTACGAGTTACTTTAAGTAATATCTTTATTTATTTATGCAAAGTTTTTTATTTGGTCTTTAGGTTTGTAAATAGTTCAGCTTATTATGGAATATCATGGAGTACCTCTAGCCTTGGAGGAAATCAGTTTTTAGTATTTTCTTTAATGGGCCTTGTTGAATTTCCAGCTTATAGTTTCTTGTTGTTAACGCTCAATCGGTGGGGTAGAAAAATAAATATTTCAGGATTTATGATATTAGCTGCAATGTGTTTATTAACGACTCTTTTTGTGTCAAAAAGTAATTATTATTTTATATTCTTGTTTAATTTAATTACAATATTATACGTGTGTTTCTTCAACAATTTTACAAATATTTAAGAAAAAAATTTTAATAGAATTTCTCTAAAATCAGAACAGTGTAGCACCCAGGCTTTTTTAATGGGTAGCCGAGTACCTTTTTTTTCTTTGTTCTTTTTACGAATTAGATTTTTCTACTAGTGGAAAAGTCATACACTGTTTATAGTAATAATTGGCCTACGCTACTGTTAGATATAGTTTACATCTTTTAAATATAAATCAAAACATTCAATTCTCTTTTTAAGAAAATACATTTTACAGGCAATACGTGGTTAATGATAACATGTGCTATGTTAGCAAAGTTGGCTATAACTGCATCTTATGGGGCAGTGTATGTTTATACAGCGGAACAATTTCCAACTGTAGTGCGAAATAGGGGTTTAGGAGTAGGATCATTTTTCGCAAGAATCGGGGGTATTATGGCTCCTTATATTAACAATACGGTAAAATAAACTAATAAACTCATTAAATTATTGTACTTTCAAATATTTTTTTGTTTTTTTGAAACCTACAGTCAGACATCTGGATAAATATGCCGTTGGTCATTTATGGAAGCTTAGCATTATTAGTGGGTGCATGGTCACTAGTATTGCCAGAAACGTTAAACAAAGAACTACCTGATACTATTGAAGACCTCATCGCTTCATCTGAAAAGTAAAGTTTCTAAAACTTTTTTTAAAATATTTAACTTAAAAAGCCAGAAATATTTCTAAAAAATCATATATACGTATTTTGGGAACAGTATCACAATTTTCTGTGTTGTCAATGCTGTTAACAATGTTATCAGTGCTGAGCACTTACTGTGTATGATATAGGTCGAAAATCGTAATATTAATGAGAACCCTTTTAATTTTTTTATATAAACTAAAATTTTGTGAAAATTTGAGTTTTAAAAAGAAAAATTCACTGGTCGATCAATGTGTTTTTAGTATTTTTACCAAAATTCCAGTCAAAAAATAAAATCTATTTCTTTTAGTCAATTTTTGGACAAATATTTTAATTAATATATTTAAATAGTTAAATTTTTACTGAAAAATACAAATTTTTTAGTTTCAAAATTTGAAATCGAAAATTAATAGCATGGATATCATTATATGATTTATTTCTAGTAGGGCAAAAGTTGGTTTTTTGTTTTTTTTTAATAACACAATTTGACTGATATTTATGTATATTATAAGTAGAAAAAATAATTATTCACTAATCTTCAAAAGTATGAGACTTCAGAGCATTGGACAGTTTACTAGAGAATAGAGCAGAAGATAATAAAGATGAGAATTCTTAGATGGATGAGTGAAGTCACTAGAAAAGATAAGATAAGAGCCAGTTGAGGTGTAACGTCAATTGTCGATGACATCAGAGGAAATAGACTTAGATGGTTTGGTCTTGTTATGAGAAGAAAGAAATTGGTTAAAATACTAAAAACACATTAAGCGGCCAGTAAATTTTTTTTTTTTAATTTTGAATTTTTGCAAAATGTCTATTTTATAATACATAAATTCTCATTAAAATTACAATAATCAACTGTTTTGGTCCATTTTATTGTAAGTGAAATTAACTGACGATGCCAAAATTGTTTCCAAAATACGTATATGTAGACATTTTACTATTTTTTGATCATAAAATTAATCATTTAACAGTAAATATATGTGGTTTAAAATTAATACCTTATATATATTTTTAATTTTAAATGATATTAGCCATCAAAGTCTATTTTCTCTAATCTCATCCATGGTTGACGCTACACTTCTATTCGCTCCTTATTCTATCTTCTATAATGACTCCACTCATCTATCTAAGAATTTTCATCTTTACTATACTAATTCTCTGCTCTATTCTCTTGTCAACTGCCCAACACTCTATATACTTTAACTGCATCCTAGTTGATTTTACTACAGTCCTATAGAACTTATATTTCAACCTCATTGGAATTTTTTTGTCGCAATTTACTCCAGCTTCTCTCTACTTCACCCACCCGCAATTAATCCTTATATCCTCGTCAATACCACCTTTCTTTTGTACAATTAATTTTAAACACTTTAAACTTTCCATCTCTCTTATCATGTCCTCGCTTATTGTCACTGATATCCTTATTTTACCTACCTCTGTTCTCTTTTATCAAACTCGTACTCTATATACTCTGTCTTACCTCAACTTATTCTTAAACCCTTTTTTTCAAAAGCTGACCTATACATCACTAGACTTTGATTAATTACTTCCTTATTTTCTCCTATTAACATTATAACGTCAACAAACAACATGCACCACGGTACCTCTCTTTGTATTTCTCTAGTGATTTCATCCATCACTATAAAAAATAATTAAGGGCTTAAAGCAGAACCTTGGTGCACTCCATATTCTTTATACATTTCTTTGAAGAGCTAACACCGGGAACAAAGTTACTGTTATCAACGCTTAATACATACTAATGTCATTATATGTTAATAATTAACCACAATTTATTAATTTTTATTTTTTATTAAATAATATAAAATTGTTGATAATTTATTTATTTTACCACTTGTAACAATATGTGTAAAGTAGCATGTTTTACATAACTACAAATAATTTAACACTCTAACAAAAATTGAAAAAATAAAAACAATTAAATTAATAAATTAATAAATGATTATATTTTATCAAAAAATAAACATTATTTAAACATTTCTAATATATTATTTACTATTTTAGAAAATACAAACCAGTAAAATTGGAGAAAGAAACTACATTTAAAGAAAATAAATTAAAGAATGATAACGTCTAACAAAGAATGTTCCCATTAACATTACTTCAATACGAAATCATTATTTTTACCAATTTTTTCTTATAAATAAGTACTCGTGTTAATTATTCATTAAGATTATAATTTAATAAAAAAAAAAATTATTTTATTTTCGTCTATAATATTATTTTGAATTCAAAGTTTTTTTTTAAATATAATGACTGATATATTTATGTGAGATCATTTTTTATTATCAATTATATATATATTTGTGATAAAAACTGATAGTTTTATATCAAATAACATTTTGACAAATCTAAAATAAAATTTATCTTATCTAATATTTAGCATTAAAATAAGAATACATGCATAACTTGTAAGATATTATATGATGTGAAGTGCACTATTTTAGGGGTTTTCTATAAAAAACCAATAATTTATGTTTTATAAAGAGATTATTGGTTGATTATACTAATTTATTCAACAATTAGCTAAATTTAAAAATGACAACCAAAATACCTGAATCCTTTTAGGAATTCTAAATAGTTATATCCGATTATTTCAATTATTAACTTCTAATGTGTCTTTCAATTATTAAATTTGTTTATCCATTTATAATTACAAAAAAATTAAGTGTTATACTTTTATTAAATGTTTATAAGTGTATTCGTCTCTCCGATTGTTCTAATGATGTAAGTTTCAACATAAAGCTTTTATTTTTAATTTTTCATTGAAATATTATGAGAATATCAATCTGATTTTTTTTTCTGTGATATTGAAATTTCTTTATTAGGTTTTGAACAAAAACTATTATTTCTTTAATACAACAATTTTTCAATTATAATTTATTCTATTAATAAATTAAGTATTTCTTTATGTTCAAAAAATTAATAAATTGTTTAGAGCCGGTAATACTTTATAGTTCTTTTTTTAAGTAAAAATAAATGTCAGTTTTATAATGATAGAAATATTGTTGAATTGATAAGAACACTTTATTTTCTGAAAAAATCAAGTATGCTTTTTTATAATTCCATAGTATTTTTTTTTAATTTTTAATAATTTTTTTTTTATAGGAAATGTCATTTTAAGTATTATATTTTGTAATGGATTAAATTTTGAACCATTAAAATATAAATTTAAATATCTCATAGTCTCAAATTGGATTTCATGTTTCTTGTTTTCCTCAAATATTTTAGTATAAAATATAATTTAAACAATATAATAGTTAACGAATGTTGAAATGTTATAATTTATTTCTTAATAAAAAAGACAAAAATTTTAAATATTTATTTTTAATAAATTGTCTAATGCAAAAAATTGAATGAATATAGTCTAGGTATGAACGAACAGTTTTAAGTTTTATTCTAAGATAAAAATTAAAGTTAATTAATCTATGAGTATTGAAGTACTTTTAAAAATTATGAAAATAATATTTTAATCATTGAATTTTTATACTTTTTTTATTATTATAATACTCTTGACAATACAATAATGTTTGTAATCTGTTTGTTTGGATTTCTCGAAATATAATTTTAAAATAAAGAATACAAGGAAAATCTCAACTTATAAATTATCTAAATCATTTTAAATATAAAGAATTTTATACATTAATATATGTATAACCTTAATTCATGTAACACCAGTAGTATTTTAAAATTAGTTCTATAATAAAAACTGCAAATAAAATAATTCATTAATAAGTTTTTTTTAGTTTAAATTTGTAAATAATTATAATAGCATTTATAAAATATTATTCGAAAAAAAGTTTTATCTTTAGTAATATTCAATTGATTTGCTAAATGTAAACTAAATTAATTTAGTAGATATTAAGTATAATTAGTAGAGCGGTGATACATTTTGGTAGTATTTATTTTTGTTTCAAAAGTCTCTGAGTTGAAGTAAATTGTTTAAACGATGATAAAATGTTCTAAGTATGGAATAAAAAATTTTTAGAAATAAAAAAATATTCTCATATTCACAAATTCCAATCTTAGTAGGATTTTCCTAACTTTAATCGAAATATTGCATTAGAGTAATTTGAGTTAATATTGTCATATATTTTTTATTATTTGTTTAATATTTAATAATATAAAAAAACATTTTAGCATTTAGTCATACATTTATTTGTGAAATTTTCATTATTTTTTTATTAAAAAACAATAACAAATATGTATAAAATTGTATTTATTTTTTAATCAGCGATTATTTATTAACAAATTTACTATAAAATCAATTTTAAATAAATACATGCACCTAAGTAACTCCAGTAAAATCATTTTAAATTCTTTAAAATTTAAAAGATTTTTTTATCTTTTTATTAACTATACTCGTACAATTATGATTTATATTTAAATTCTATATATTCTAAGACCTACATTATTGGTGATAATCTATCATCATTTAAAATTTCACTAAAATTTTCATACAATATTTGACTAAAAATTATAGGAACGTATTATTTTTGTTATAACTGTAAAATTACTTCTGAAATAATACAAATTATATTTTATGTATTTAATAAAATCATTATAAATCAATAAATACAGATATGATAATGTTTTCTGTTAGTTATTAATAACTAGGGAAAAATTTAACGATAAATTATTGAAGAAATATTCGTAAAAATAGTCTAGTAGTTTCCATAGTAAAATATGCTAATTGTTATTTATTAAATTATATAATATATTAAGAACAAGCATGCATTTAAAAATCAAAATATGAAACATTTATATTAAACCGAGTTAATCATACATACTAAAATTATGTACTTATACAAATTATGTGCTTTTAGAATTATTTTTAAATGACAAAAACCTTTAAAAATGATGAATGTACGAGTGATTAATTTTACTTTCAAAAGAAAGTCAATTTGTTGTGCTTAAAACTAAAGAAATGTGAAAAACTAAGAGCATCACATAAATACTATTAAAGTTAAATTTTATTTGTTTTCCTTAATCTATATGTGAGATCATGCTTAGTTTACTTAAGTAATAATCACAGTGTTTACTAAAACGTATTCTCAGATTATCTGATTAAAACAAAAACGATTATTTTTCTATAGAATTTCTATTAATTTTAATACTACTTTTAGATTTGCTTCTCGGTAACTTATACCAACTTGGCGGCATATATTTTAAACTTTCTTGTCTAGTAGGTGGAAATTTAGTTTCTAGTGCTTTTGTTTCATTTGTTTTATGACTTGATGTAGATCCTTGTCGATGCATCTTGTGATCAGGATTTACCATTACAACAACTTCTTCTATGTCTTCATCTTCAGTACTGGATTGAGTCCTATAACTTCTAGTGTGTCGATCAATTCCGATTTCAGCACCTTTTTTCATACCATAATCCCTTTCTAACTTTCGATTTTTTTTTCTTGAAAATATTTTCAATAGTTCTTTTTTAAACCTTGGGTGCGTAATAGCATACACCCAAGGATCTATACCAGCTGCTGTTTTGCAAAACAATGCTGGGATCATCGAAGTGAATGGCGTTATGTACTCTTTATGATCGAAAACGCCTAACAGTGCCATGAATGCATATGGAGTCCATGATAAAAACCATAGCATTATTACACCCACTACAACATAACCTAACCTTATTTCCGTTTTTCTCTTTTCTACTTCTTGTCCAAAACGACTTGCAGTCAATTCACTTTTACTCCAAACTGCAGAAAGTATTTGGACATAACAAAAAAATATTAAAGTAAACGGTACTACCCATGCTGCTGTAAAAAATATTAAAATAAATCTTTTTTCATGAATGTCATCAGTCAAGTAATCAAAGCTGCAACTACTTAAGAACCCTTCCGGCGTATAGTGGCTGAAACCAATGTCTAGAGTAGGTAAAATGGAAAATATAAATCCATATAACCATATTAATGCTATAAGTATTCTGGCTCTTGATTTGGTAGTTTTAACTGCCGAGTTCAATGGATGAACTATAACATAATAACGATCCAAAGAAATGGCAGCTAAAGTCATTATTGAGCCGATTCCAGTTAAACCACCAAAGAATCCATATAATTTGCAGCCTAATATAAAATATAAAATATTAAAATTAAATTTTTTTTCAAAACTATTAGTTATTAAATTATTACCAAGTTTCCCTAATGCAGGTCCTTGATATATACTGTTATATATTACAACAGGTGATTTAGCAACCATAAAGAAATCACTAACAGCCAAATTAATAATTAGGACATTCGCTGGCGTTTGCAATGATTTACATCTACAAAAATTAAATGAATTATAATTTTTTCTTTCTTGAAATAAAAGTAGAGGTAATTATTACAAATTATATTCTTGTATGAATGCAAACTCAAATAAAGAAATCAACAAATAAACTTTTAAAATTTTAATGTGAGTCGACTACAAAAATATTGGAAAATATCTTTTATCAAATATTGGTTTATCGTTGTTTTGTTTTACTTTTATTATATATATATATATATATATATGTATAATTAGTTAAATACTTTTTGAAATCATTCTTTATTTATCATTCTAGACCAAATGCTTTTTAAATGAACTGTGTTTTATTTAAGTTTTATACAACACTGTAAATATATCATTATAGTAAATCTAAAAATATTGATCAAGTGAAATTACCTGATATACATAATTATGACAAGGGCATTTCCAAAACACCCTACTGCCGTAATAATTGTATACAAAATTGCCATAGTGTAATGCGCAAAAGGGCTCGTCGGAGGAAACTTAAACCAGTATTTATTTATTAACTTTATGTAGTCATCAGTATAAAAACCATGTTCTTTCCATAAATAAATAGGGTATTTGCTTTGAAAACTTTCTATAAATATAATTTCTTCGGATTGATTAGATATTACATTTTTTACTACGCTTAATCTTTTGTCTGTTTTAGGTCCAGAAGTCGTAGTATTTTGAGTTATTACGGATTTATTAAATTCCTTTCCTGGTTTAGGAGTGCTACGTGGAACTATTCTGGTAAGGATTTTTTGTTTTTTTGGCTTAGATGTGGTCACTATATTTCGTATACTCCTTAATGATTTTGTTCCAACATTTATATCTTGTGTAATTATACTTAGCAATGATTGCGGAGAAAAATATTCATTACTTATGATCTTACTCGTGTGATTATTCAATGCAAACGTTGATGATTTGCAAATGGGAATAATTGTAACATTGTCAGTTGTAATATTGCAGCAAGCCAATTTTGTAAAAACAGTAAAGCTTAAGGATATAATTACTTTGAAAGAATAGTGGTCCATGATTAAAGTTACTATGTTCACACTTTACATAGTTTAAAGCCTGAAATAAACAATACATTAGTTTAATGATAAAGAAAAATTTCCATTGTTTATTTATGTATAAAACAAAACTTGCCCAAGTATAGAAATTTAACAATAATAACAAAAATTATATATTTATTATCATCAGAACATTCATATAAAGTATATAACATTTAAAAACATAGCACAGCAATGGAAAAAATATATAAGTATATGTATATAAACAAAAGAAAATTTGATTAAATAAAAAAATATGGGTTCTCATTGGCCAATTTTATCATTTGAAGAAGCGGACAATTAGTCGTATAACTAGTAGAACAAAATGAAACAGAGAATGAATAGAATGTACGGGAATTAAAAACAGGTATACGAATTTATATAATTATAAAAATTATACATTTCAATTTTGTTAAGCTTAAGATTAATAACTCATAAATATTCTAAATAATACAACAATCTATGAAAGCTTTAAACGTATATACTTTTAAACGTAACTAAATAATTGTTAAACAACATATTTTATCAGTAAGGTTCGAGACTATGCATTTATACAAATGTTTTCAACCACTTCCGAGACACCTGTCAAAAAAAATGTATCATAGGTATATGATACAATACCCTAGGAACATATTTTGGTCTAGATCAGTGATCATTCAAGACACGCTAAAAATAAAATATTATACATTGATTAGAATTTAAACAAATATATGTTTATCATTTATGTATACTTGGGGTGACTAAAATAAATTCTACGAATAACGACCTGAATCATACTTATCAGTTATCTAATATTTGTCCAGTGTTGTTATCTTAATCCAAAGTAAAATTAATATGTTAAAGTCAGTTGTGTAAAATATTAATCAATTTTGATAAAATCTACATCAAAAATAAATTATAAATTTTTAATAATTCAATAGTAAGTTTTCAACAGCTTTGTTTCTCACTATTGTCAATTTACGTGAAAAATTATAAGAATATTGACTTCAGATAATAATAATGGCGAACTTCCTTCGATAATAAAAATTATTTATACTAGTAAAAAAATAAAAGACACATTTTATTGGAATTTTTGTTTATTTTTTTCTTAAGACAACTTTTATATCAAATTGAATCTTTATAAAGATTTCCTGTAATTTTATGTAAAAAGCAATTTAAAAGTTTTAACTTCACATTCTATATATTCCTTTTTATTAAAACAATATGTTTGCCAAACTATTTTTTTTCTATCTAAAATACAAGTAAACATTTTTATGAAATTATTAGCTGTCATTACTTTTTTAATTATATGTTATTTAATTAAAAATAGTAAAATATTGTGTGAAAAGTTAATATAAAAATATTATTCTATTTTAAATAATATAAATAAATAAATAATAATAAAGAAAGAATTTTAAAGCAGAATTTTGTTCTATATCTACTAAATTTGTTTAAAATTAAAGTTTATATAGTACTCAATGAGTTAAATAATTTTTTTCTTACATATAAACGATTGCCAAAAAAGTTTTATTGCTTTTGTAGTGAAAAAATATTGTTTTTTGTTTTATTATTAAATTTTTCTTCAACCGTTTTTTTATCAGTTTCTGTTTACACAATAAATCTTACAGGGGGGGTCTACAAATTTTGGATAGGACATACCCTCCAATTAAAAATTAACCTTCCCAAAAATAAAACAAAAATATAGATGATTTTCATTTTTTTACTAAATAAATGTCTATTTGATAAGACACTATTAAAATGTCAAATTTGTATATTCTCTCTTGAAAAATTGATAAAATTTATCATCAACTATTTGAAAATAACTATAGATACACATTGTTGCTTAAACTGTAACATTACCTATCTAATTATATGGCTAAATGAGATGTTTATCAAAAATGTTGAAAGTAGTTTTCTGACACATGTTTTTCTACATATTTTATAGTAATACTCAAAGTTCTATTGATAGTTACGAAAATAATAACACCTATTGTATTAAACCTGTATAATTAAAATTTGTTTTTTGACAATCCTGAAAAATTAAAAAAAACATTAAATATACGCTGTTCTAATAGTAAAGCCAATGTAAATATAATATATATTTAAATATATAAGAATGTTTAACTATGACTCACACATTATTTAACAAAATTTCAATAAAAAATATTTTTTTCTATTCAAAAGTTAATAATCAGTATTGATAAAACAAGTATCTCAATGCTATTTTAGGTGAAATATTGATTTATTTAGATGAATAAGATATTTCTCGTTTTTATTTTTATTATATTAGTAATTTTAATTTTATAAGTTGATATTTCTGACTATCTACAATCAAATAAATAATGTTGGTTCTGTACTATCATTGAGAATAAATATTATTATTTACAGTATCTTCTGTAATTATCTGCTCATTGCGTTTGAAATGGCAGCATACTATCAGTTATTTTTGACAGCATAGAATTAAAAGTTAAAATCAATAATAATCACTTGTTATGAGTAATCGAATGTTTTTAACAGTGTTGAGAAGGAACTGGTTCCAAAAGGAACGGATTCCTGGAACGAGTTCTTTTTGAAGGAACGAAGCTAGGAACTGCTTCCTTTTAAAATAAAGGAACGAGGAAAATGAACAAATTCCATTTTTTAAGGAACGTGAACGGAAATTACAGTTCCTAAAAATTTTTATAAACATGTTTTAGTGTAGTTTTCTTCGTATCTAGACATTAAAATATCAAGGTATTTTTAGTTGACTTTTGACAATGGAAGTCCCCTATATACCCAGCCGAGATCGTAGGCTGTTTAAATGAATCAATTGACTATAGAGTTATTATCACATGTAGGTATACAGTAAATATTTAATATATGTGTACATATATTAAATAATGCACCGAATATTATCGTCGTTTCTTGTTAACTAATATATGTTAAAGGTTTTGGGTTTTCTGATTTATTATTTCTAACTTATATGAAGACAATAGACATTGGTCGCGTTGACACAAGTCGTTAGCATTTACTACCTTTTTATAAATATAATTTTCGAATACTTTTAGATAAGGAATACTACAAATTTGTTTTGTATTCGACTGCTGATGAAAATCATTGATGACCGTTATCATGATCTCATTGCCACAATTTTTTAAATAACTTGGTTACATAAAAGGAACGAAGAGTGGAACGAGTTCTTATTTTGGAGGAACTGGATCTGGAACAAGTTCCTTCTTAATATAAAGAACTAGGATCTGGAACGAGTTCATATTTTATAAAATGAACGGGGAACGGAACGAGTTCCATTTAAAAAGGAACTTTCCCAACACTGGTTTTTAATAATTAGATGATTAATAATCGAAAAAAATCGTATGATTAGTAAAGTTTCAAAAATTAAATCTAATAGCAATTTTACACTAACATTATAACTTTACTGATATTTCATCAAAATTTAAAAATACTTATATAATTATGTCACGTCTCTATCGTACCGCGACCCTTCTGTGCTACATTTTTTGTCTAAATATTAATTTAATTTTTACAGTATTATTAAACATTTAGAATTTAAAATTAATTATATTTTATTTTATTATGTAACACTCAATAAGGTTTTCATATTTATTTTATTTATATTTTTTATATTGAATGAACATTTTATTTTTTAATTATTATTTATTTATTATAAAAATTTTTAATTAAAAAATAAACGATTATTTTCATTTTTTATTTGACAACTATGTGGTTTTATACATTTAAAAAAATTTAATTTCCATAATGCCTTTTAATCGAGTGATTCGATTGATTTGATTATAATAAATACCTAATTATGTTTATGATTAAATTTTCAGTATCTATTATTTGGATTTCTCAATTATTGAAATCACCCGATTATATAAATAATAATTAAATAAGATTTTGAGAGAACTTGAGCGATTTTCTGAATAAATCTTATAGTTTTGAGAGCGTTGCAACATGTTTCTTCTAAATGAAGGCGAAATTTTAAAGTAGAAGTGAGACGAAACTCAAGGTCAACTATAAAAGAGACAGATGCAATAGGGAAGTTATAAATATAATAAGTTTAAGGAATAGGATAAGAAAGACGTGAAAAAGTCATTTTATAGTACTCGGAAGTATTTAAAGTCAAATCAATTGCTTCATACCAACTAACTACACGATCTAAATGAGTTTGAAGTAAAATAACATCAGAACTGTTAGTAACAGTTCATGCTGCATCCATGAAGCTGTTTACCGCTCAATTCTCATTCAAAGAGGATATAGTTAAATTCTAATTGTACGATTTTAAAATTGTGAAATACTAGGATAATTAAAGTTAAAAAGAATTGTATGTAATGAGGATTTAGAGAATTGGAAAAGAAAGTTAGAAAGTAGTGTGATAGAGGTCAATAGTAACACAAAGCTAAGATCTAGGCTGACTGTTATATTAGAAGCGCTACTAAACATTAAATCGAAAAGGGAGTCACATGTATTGAAAATACAGTTACGCTAATTGAAAATATTCGACAACTATTTAAATATTTAAATAAAAAGTACTTATAAAATATTTGGTATTCTCTAGATCGAGTAATATACAAAAAAGATAATAGTATAATTCAATTATATGATGTGTCTACGTAGATTTTACTTTTTGACTGTAATTAGTCATCCTAATACACGTATATCGCCTGCAACTGTGCTTTCAATTTTACTTGAAGTGTGTTTAAATGTATAAGAAATACTTGTGAATTATATACACAAGAAACAAAATTTATACAATAGTAAATGTGTATATTTTAGTTAAGAAAAAGTATGTGTGACTGCTATATAATACTATTAACTTGATAAATTTTCTAAAAAAAATCATTAAAATTATTACAAATAAAGATTGTAATCTGAGATTAAATAAAACTACCATTAAATTAACGTAGTTAGCACTATAACTTACTGATGATTATCTAAAACTAATATGAGATCATTACATAATTAATATTTACTAATTATGTAAGTTGTATTAATTTTAAAATAAATACAAATTCAAGTAATTAAAAAAAAAAAGACTTTAAAACAACTAATTTCGATAAAACCTTAACAATAAATTGTTTGAAAATGAATCACTATTGTTTTAGTTATTTTACTTTTTTTTGTTATATATCATATTACTTTGAGTTTTTTCTATAACAAATCTTTGAAAAAATGTTTAATATCAAATTGACATATATAATATGTTAATTAATTAATATTATAATTGACTGACCAGAAATAATTGATATGTGATGTGAACATGATTTTGTAACATTGAGTATTTGCTTAAGACATTGTGTGTGTGTATAATAGAATTTTATCTGTATTTCTCAAACATTGATCTCAAGCTGTCATTCGTAGATATTATCAAAATTGGTCTAGAATTTCAAAAAGACAATTTTCATAATATTTTAAGTTGTACTTCGGAAAATTAAAACATTTGTAAATTAGCTAATTTTCACGAATGATCAGTTTTACATAATTTTATTTTCCGAATTTAAAATGCTACAGAGCATGGTGATCTTTTTTCACATGTTAGGGAGTCAAAAATGGTTCTTGTCTAAGCCAATGATGGACGGGACGGATATTATGGCCGATTTACACCACTGTAATAATCCAAGAAAAAAAAAGATAATGTTAAAGATTAGGGGTTATAAACATAGTGAAAGGTAGAATAATTAATATAATGGATAAACTTTGGAATGAATAAATATTGATATCTCAAGGGTTGAATAATATTAAATCAATAATGCTTAAATCCCTTGAAATTGTATAATTTCTCTTAATCGTTTATAACATAAGAGATTGTTTGTGGTTCGAAATTAAATTTCACTTACCTTATATTCTATGTCACGTAATAATATTTTAAGTAATCCGACGTTGATTTTGTGTATTAAATGCACTACGTAAGGTTACAGACCTCAAGTTGTATAAGTCCATATATTTTTTACAAAAATGATTCAATATTATTTAAATAATACAATTTCATTACACAAAATCTATCACAAGAAAAATAAATAAAATATTAATATTTAATGAACAAATAAACTAAAATCATAACTAAAAAAAAGTTCATTCAACAATTTTTAAGTAACATTTAATTTTAAAAAATGAAGTCCCAGAGAGTGAGAATTTTATGTAGAGCTTCACAGATTTTGTGTATTTTGAAATTACCAAAAGAACTGGTTTTGAGGAGGGGGGAAATGGCTCTTTATAGTCAGAAGGGGTAATCTAGCGATCCCTAGTATGATCATGAAAGCTGAGGCCTTCTATTCTAATTGGTTAATATGAAAGGGGAAACTACGCGTAGACGTTACTCAAACATTTATACAATAAGTAGATTTTATCCCATAATTAGTAGCTTATTATTTTGTATTTTAAACAAGATAACCCTGTTTTGGTGATTTTGTATATTCATAATATATGACATACATGTACAAACGATAACATTATATGCTAATATTATAAGTGATAACAAAATATTACACCACCAATAAGAAAATCACAAGAAAAATCTCGTTGGCATCCTGGAGATTGAATCCGTGGCACCGTAACATACCCACTAGGTCACGCCGACCCCTTAACTATATCTCACGTGATATTTTTAAAAATATGAAATATAATAAAATTTGTTCTCTTCGAACTTCAAAAGAAGATTTGTCTAAGTATTCGTGATTATAAATTACAAATATTTGTTGAATATTCATCTCTAGCATCACTACGAACAACAAAATTTTTTTTTAAAAAGATGTTTAATAAAATTACCAAAAATTAAAATTTATTAAATCACTTATTAAAATATTTATTTTATAGTATATAACTGAATTTATAAAAGTTCTTTCTTTAATACAAGCATGATTACAGTTTTTAATATAAAAGTTTATGTATTAAGAGTAAATGATTTACGTTTATTTTAAATATCATAAAAATATTAATTATTAATTAATTAATATTACTTGAAATTGATGTATTATAAGTGATATCCACTCTGTAAAGGCTAGTTTCATAAAGTCACAGAACGCATCATCCCCCGCAGTTATAAATCTTTAATAACAATGTTGAGAATAGAGTTTTTTAAGCCTGATAACATCTACTATTTTTGTAAAACTTCAAATAAAAACTTGATAAATGAAGCGATATAAGAAATGACTGTTTGCTGGTGGTCTTTTAGGCTATGCAAGTGTAAACATAAATTTGTAGTATTGCCATTTAATTTTACAGGAAGATAATATTATCATAAGATAAATTCTTTTCGGTTATCTATATTACCTAATTTAAAACTAATTTTTTTCATATTTAACTTCGTGCATTAGCAAAAGCAACTAATTTTAGTCCACTAGAACACATTTTCGAACACAATAATATATAAATTCAATATAATACGGCGGACACTGTATTTCAATAAAAATATAAACTACTTACATAATAAATTAAATAGACATGGTGATTAAACTTTTAACTAAAAAAAATTAAGTAGAAATTCAACAATTAATAATACTTTATTAATATTACTTAATATATACATCGCATTTTCAGTTATACCAGTTCATATATCGATATCGAATTATTGTGATAACCACAACGGATATCATTATCGATATAATGTTGCCTAGATGGTATCGTATCGAAATTTCGATTTCGTTGAAGACGATTACTAAGTACTTTTTGAACATTTTAAGTTTTTGAGTTACTATACTAAAATTTAATGGTACAAAATGTTAAATTTATAATATATGTATTTTTCATTCAAGAAAGTCTTCCATACATTTTTCAAAATTGAATAAAATGTAAATTCATTCTTATAGTAGATATCTAAAAATCTTACATTTTATTATATCGGACGTAGAATTGTTTCAAACAAATGTGGATAAAGAAAGTTTGTTTTGTTTAAGTTTATAGTATTATTAGATTTTATGTTTGAAGAGTTCGATGGAGACAAACAATTTTTTTATTTCTCTATTTATATTGGACAGTCAGTATAACGAAAAATCATTTAAGATGTATTATACATTTAAAATTTTTTGTATAAATATAGTTCAATTGCATTAATTTACCTTGATTGTATCAATATTGTTAAAATCAAGATATCATAGTGAACAAAGGTTGTAATCCTTTACTTAAGTATTAAATAATTGAGCAGAATTATTGCTAAGTTACGCTTCACACAACATTTTTATGCAAAATAAATAAATTGCATTTTTTTTTTAGGAAGTTTAAAGATACATATATATTTAGAGGTAAGAAAAAATTGAGCTCTTTTTATAATTTTGTAATTAAAAATTATTCATTGAGTTGTATTGTGTGGAATGAAACAGTATTCTTTGTAATAAAAGACACGAAATTCGCCAATAATTTTTTCCTTGTTAAATTTAAGATGTTATTTTTATATAATACAATAGCTAGAGAATTATTTGACATAGGTAAATTTTTATATTTTTCTATTGGTAATATAGAAAACCTTTAGTATAAAGTTGTATAAAACTAATGAAAATATAATTTTAGTTTTGTAATTACACTATCCATACGGCTATTATTAAAATAGTATTATATATTGCTATTTTATTTGTTTTTTTATAACATTTATTTTATCTTGATTTTTGAATAAGAATACAATTTATGTTTTAAAAAGACGATCTTTAAGTTTCCACGTAGAAAAATACTTAAATTTATATAAATATAACTTAAATAGAAAATTTGAATTATTTCTAATTTTGAAGCATTGGGGTACGTCAAACTTTCTAGAGGTAGATAATAAATTTTATTTTATACCTTTGAGGATGTTACGCGAAATACGATAAAAATCAACTAGTATAGTAAAAAAAAGGAACTAACTTGATAAATTTACATAACATACAATTCTTACTAACCACATGTGTGAATATGTTTTAAGATATGAAAGTTACGGTTCAAATGCATAGGGTCTTTTTTCCTGACTATGTACTGATTGCACGACAACCAGGAGCCATTGTATGTTTCAAATATAATCTCAGCTCGTATGATGTCATCACGGATTCATTTGCTATTTTCTAGAAATACTTTGTATCTGAACACTAATAATAATCCTTCAAGATACAATAAAATGGATTCATTATTGGATTCTTTATTTAATAAATCGTGTTTAATATTTTGTGTATAATATTTTAGGAAGATATGTTAAATATTTAAAAATTGTATGATACTTCTATAAGTGTTGGTTAAAAAAATTGTTTTTTGTAGTTAGTATTAATATATTAGTTAATTCTTGATTTTAAATATTATCAACAAATTGTTATATTATCTTGTAAACTGCGTTTTCCTTTAAATAACAATAAATTGATCATAATATTTTATAAATTATAAATTATTTTTCATAAATAATTTTATAAATTATTTGTACTTCAATTATGTACTAAAACTCAGAAAAAAAGTATTTTAGTAAATACTTTGAATCGGTATTAAGAATTATATGATTTATATCGACGAAAATTTAAATGATGGACAGAATAAATAAGATAAAACTCAGCACAGTTTGGAAGCTGTATAGTTAACTTTGCACAATGCGTAAAAGATCCCAATGATCCCTGAAAGTGATTAACATCAATATCATAAAAAACGCTTCGATGTAAATCGTTAAATCTTATAATAATTCATATATTTTTAATTTTACAATTTCTTTGTTTAAACATTTCGACCGAATATGAAATACTTTTTAAGTTATTTGTTTAATCGAAAAAATATATATTTTTTTGATTGCGACTTTTTCATTTGATGGCTAATTTCTCATTGTAAAACAATTGTAGAATGGATTTTTTTTTTTTAAATACAGTGGACTTCCGGTAATCCGACAAACGTTTTGCAGGTCAGTGTCGAGCTATCGAATTTGTCGGATTATAGAGTATTCCCTTGGATCTCTTATAGTACGGAACTTTTAACATAAGAGTACCTTGTAATCAGAAAAATCACAAATGCAAAGATAAGATTTGATTTTGACAGGCCCTGGTGTGAAGTACAAATCATGCTTCACTATGTATGTCGACTTAAGTAAATTAAACAACACAATAGAGAGCTTATGTTTTATTATAAAAATAACGTCATTAATGCTAGAGAACTTATAAAAAAAATAACTTTATATTTAGGAATACAATTACAATGTAATTGTGTTTAAACAAATGTACATACTAAAATAGTAAAAAATTATGAATNTTACAAATTATGCTTCATTATGTATGTCGACTTAAGTAAATTAAACAACACAATAGAAAGCTTATGTTTTATTATAAAAATAACGTCATTAATGCTAGAGAACTTATAAAAAACAATAACTTTATATTTAGGAATACAATTACAATGTAATTGTGTTTAAACAAATGTACATACTAAAATAGTAAAAAATTATGAATAAAAATCATTATATGAATTTGTGGAGCATGAAAATATTCATCAATTTTTTTTTGCTTAACATTATTGAAACGCGAGACCAATGCTCTATCTCTCAGTCTTCATAAAAGTAAAAGTTCATTGTAGGATGCACCATTATCCTCAGCCCATTGCAAACTCAGTTCAAAGTTATTGTAGTTTACTTCAAAATTTTTAATTTGATATAGTTAGTATGTTGTATGTATAAATAATATATTTATATTGTGTCCCAAAATATTTTCAAAAATAAAGTTGAAAAAAAAATTACATTCGTGGGTCTTTCCAACTCTTCCTGCACTTAGACTTTTTATTTGACTTTCATACATATCATACTAAAAAAAAATCTTATTGTCTTAAGTATTATAATATCATGTATAATATTAGCATATAATATGATGTTATCATTTGTACATATATGTCACATATTAATTTACAAGATTACCAAAACAGGGTTCCCTTCTTTAGAACATAAAATAACCAGTTAACTAGGAAATGAAATCTGATTATTGTACAGATTTAAAGTAATGGCTATGAGTAGATCTTCAATTAAGTCCAGCTAAAATCTTTTAACAATTAATTAACATTTCCAGCTTCCAAGATTACGGTAGGAATCGCTACACTACTCCCTTTTGACTATTAAAAACTATTTTTTCCTATTTAAAATCAGTTCTTTCGGTAATTTCAAACTACTTTACTTAATATTCTCACACTCTGTGACTCTTTTTTTCATTTTCATATTTATCTTATATGGACTCATCCTTTTCACCTTTTCCTTTTTATATTTTATTCCTAATATATTATTCTGTTTATTTGTTGTTTTATTACAATACACACTATTTTTACTTTTTTACTAGGAGGATTAGTGTTTACAAAAAAAAAAATTATAGAATTTTTAAAATATATAATAAAAATTTTGAAAATTCCATTATTACGGTAGCATTGTAATTTTGAAACATAATTTTTAAATTTCTAACATTAAAGATTTTTTTTTTATTTTGGTGTTAATAGATTTAAGTAAATTAAAATTGGGTTCTTTTGACGTATAAACCAAATAAATAGGTGGTTCATTCAGAACTGAGAATTTTCATAGAAAATATTTAAAAAATATATATCATGATAATATCAATATCTTTTCAGCTTTGCATTTAAGCCAAAATAATTTAAATCAAGATCTATAAATGGAGAGTTATTATACATAAAATTAATCTTTGGTAATGATCAAAATGTTATGACATACATATGTCTTAAATTTATTCAGAAATATTATACTAAGTTTTAATTAAATTTGTTATATTATATAAATAGTTAAAAGCAACTTCACAGAAAATTAATTAGCCTATTTTCATAAGTTAGTCTTCATTGTCATAACATCCGTACACAGTATAATTTAGTAAATTATTGGATGTTTTAATCAATATGATTTCTTTCGGCATTTTAAAAATATTTTATGAATCATTTTTATGCTGTAGCAGTAAGAATAAAATAGTGACGTGACCAAGTTGTCTCACGATTTCAACTCAATTTAACCAGTAAATCTCAAGGGGACTCTAGAGTATTTCTTCTCTTCTTGAAAAACTTAGATTTAGTTTATAGTACATGAATCAATGTGAAGTTTACAATTATCGTTAATAAAGTTGTGATTTGTATAGGTACCGTTTTTACAACAGATCATTTCTTTAATTTCATTATTTTGTGTTTAGTTATTAATTCAATATAAAATAATAAATAAATACTTGTAATGATTAGCTATTATAACTAGAGGTTTATTACATATAAATTAATCGAAATATTTTTTTAAAAGGTTTTCAAAACATTAACAACTTAACAATATCACAGAAACAGTTTTTAAATTGAATTTTAATGTCGAATAAAGTTTAAGCTAAATAAGTTTTATGT